TACAAAACTCATTTCTGCTTTTCAAACCCTTTGGACAGTAAAATAATTTATTTCTTGATTTGCATTTCCCCACTTATAAACACCCTGGGAAAACCTCATCTGCTACAAAGCACCCTGTCAGCACTCAGTTACAAAATGACTTTGTGATTTATTGGAACAATTTAAAATGACAATGAAAAGAAGCACTTCTTTTGCTGCTTTTCCCCCCAGCTTTCCATGATGTTGGCTTCTTCCACTTCTTGGCATTTATTTTCCTTCCAGACTCAAGGCAGAGAGTTAAGGTTACTCTATGGGCCATTTCACAAATGGCTGAGCCTTGTCAGTGTTGTCTGATTCTTCATATGAGAAGGTTATTTCAATTTCTGGCAGGAGATACTGTATGATAATTGAGGCCAATCTAAGGAGCCCCATAAGAACCAGCCTGCGTACAAGAGTCAGTTTGTTCATTTCATATACATACATTCATTCAACGAACCTTAAAGGCATGCTAAATTAGGTGCTGTGTCCCCAACGATTTCATAGTCTGTTATAGGAGATGGATATGAAACAGATGATTATAATATATTGTGATAAGTAAAATGATTGAGTTACATACAAGTTATTATGGGAGGGAACCATATTTAACCCAGCATAGGGAAAGGTGAATAAGAAAAGCTCCCTGGAGGAGGCTAAATACAGTTAAAGAAGGTCAGGACATTTTGTAGGCCGTTTGGGTGGAAATGTCCAAAAAGCAGATTTGAGTCTGAATGTCTGGGTGGAGGTATGGTTTAGAGATAAAGATTTAGGTTTCTTTAGTATAGAGATGGCAGTTAATACCATGAGAGCTGATGAGCTCACCTAAGGGCCTGGAGAATGGGAACAGCATTGGGCTCAGGGTGGGTAGGGCCAACATTTCAGGAGCAGAAAGAGGAGACTAACGAAACAAGGAAGGAGTCAGAAAGATCCTTAACAGTACCACGAGAACTCTTAAAGAGCGGAAAATGTTCGCAGACTGAATGAAGGAGAAGGAGACAGTAAACAGAGAGATGGAATATCCAGGAGTTATCAGGGATGATGAGTAATATAGGAGGCAGGAAAGGATAATTCATTTCAAATCTAATTCATGTAACTACTTATGTGTTAAACAAATAATTGCCTAAAACTTGGTTTCAAGGCTGTTGTTTAAAATAGGCCCAAATTAGTTGCTTTCCTATATTTGTCAAAGCTGGTAATACTTACTTAATCTAACACATACTTATCAAACACTTTTTTGGTATTAGACACTTTTGGGTTGGCACCTCATGGGATAAACTATGAAGGATAAAAAATTATCCAGCATGGAGCTGGCCCTCAAAGAATTTGCAGCAAGATAAACTACGTACCTATTCATGATACACTTTTTACAGGGTTAAAATAGAAGGAAGGACTAAAGAGCATTGAGGCTTAGAGTGCTGAGATTGCTTTTAAATTGGGGATTCAGGGAAGTATTTGCGGTAAGTCTTGGAAGATGAGTAGAGATGGAAGTATGTGTAGGTCTAGCATAAGAGAGACTAAGAGCCAAAGCACAGTGCATGAAACCACAGGACACTGTCAGTCTTGCATTATTGCTCTTTACTCTGTGTGTCTCCATCTCTCGATTGACACTCCAATGCTGAGGACTGTAATTTGTCTTTACAGAGCCTCGTGTAGTATGTTGCATGTAGTACTCACTTAGTCTTTGCAATATATTTAACTTGACAGAGATATCATCGTCATAAAATTACGTATTCTATAGACTCACCTGTGCTGACCTTAGTAATAGAGCAAAAATTAATTTAAAGACTAGAATTCCTTAACTACTTTTTTAATTTTAGAGACAGAGAGAGATCATGAGTTGGGGAGAGGGGCAGAGGGAGAGAGAGAGAATCTTAAATAGGTTCCACATTCAGCGCAGAGCCAGATGCAGGGATTGATCCCATGACACTGGGATCATGACCTGAGCCAAAATCAGGAGTCACATGCTCAACTGGCTGAGCCACGAAGGCACCTCTAAAGACCAGAATTCTTATGTTTATAAGTAAAATAGTCAATACAGGTAGATGACCCTCTTGATTTGATTTTTTGAGGGTGAGAAATTAGAATTTATAAATGAACTGAATACATGTAATTTATAACATTCCTAGTAGGGCATGAAAACAATTTAAGATACAAGCTACAAATGTGTAGATTCTTAAGACTTTGATCAACACAATTTCTTTGGGATCTACTTTATTTTTTATTTTTATTGTTTAAGTAAATGAAAATTTATTTTTTCGTTTTATTTATTATTATTATTTTTTAATTTTAGATTCTAGTTAGTTAACATACAGGGCAATATTGGTTTTAGGAGTAGAATTCAGTGATTCATCACTTACTTACAATACCAAGTGCTTATCATAGTAAGTGCCCTCCTTAGCACCCATCACCCATCTACCCTATCTCCCACTCACCTTCCTCTGTCAACCCTCAGCTTGTTTTCTATCATTAAGAGTCTCTTATGGTTTGTTTTCATCTCTATTTCCCCCATTTTCCCATATGTTCATCTGTTTTATTTTTTAAATTCCACATATGAGTAAAGTCATATGGTATTTGTCTTTCTCTGACTTATTTTGCTTAGCATAATACACTCTAACTCGATACACATTGTTGTAAATGGCAAGATTTCATTGGTTTTTGATGGCTAAGTAATACTCCATTGTATATACATACCACATCTTCTTTATCCATTCATTAGTCGTTGGACAATTGGGCTCTTTTGGTAGTTGGGCTATTGTTGATAATGCTGCTTTAAACATTAGGGTGCATGTATCCCTTTGAATCTGTCTTTTTTTATCCTTTGGGTAAATACCTTGTACTGCAATTGCTGGATAATAGAGTAGTTTTATTTTTAAGTCTTTGTGGAACCTCCATACTGTTTTTCAGAGTGGTTGCACCAGTTTGCATTCCCATTAACAGTGCAAGACGGCTCCCCTTTCTCTGCATTCTTGCCAACATCTCTTGTTTTCTGAGTTATAAATTTTAGCCATTCTGACAGGTGTGAGGTGGTATCTCATTGTAGTTTTGACTTGTATTTCCCTATGATGAGTGATGTGGAGCATTTTTTCATGTGTTCAGTTGGCCATCTGCATGTCTTCTTTGGAGAAGTGTCTGTTCATGTCTTTAGCCCATTTCTTCATGGATTATTTGTTTTTTGGGTGTTGAGTTTGATAAATTCTTTATAGATTTTGGATACTAACCCTTTATCCGATATGTCATTGCAAATATCTTCTCCCATTCTGTTGGTTGCCTTTTAGTTTTGCTGTTTCCTTCTCTGGGCAGAAGTTTTTTTAAATCTGGATAGGGTCCCAATAGTTCATGTTTGCTTTTGTTCTCTTGCCTCTGGCAACGTGTCTACTAAGAAGTTGGCTGCCTGTTCACGTCTAGGATTTTGATGGTTTCCTGTGTCACAGTTAGGTCTTTCATCCATTTTCAATTTATTTTTGTGTATGGTGTAAGAAAGTGGTCCAGTTTCATTCTTCTGCATGTTGCCGACCAGTTTTTCCAGCACCATTTGTTGGAGACTGTCTTTTTTCCATTGGATGTCGTTTCCTGCTTTGTCAAAGATTAGGGATCTACTTTAAACGAGACATCGTTGAAACCAAGTTTCAGTTATTTTGTTAGTGTATATGTAGTCACATCCATTTTATACTTTGCAGTGAACCCTATCCATCTTTTAGGATTAAAAAATAACTTGGTGTACAGTTGCTTAATTAACCAAGGATGATTTTTAAATCATTTTAAATCATCCTATTTTGTAGCTGCATCGGTGTATTTGCTTTGATAAACATAGGGAATCAGATTTAGAATACAATTTTTTTTAAAGTTAATTTATTTTGAGAGAGTGTGTGGATCCTTGTACATGGGTGGGGAAGGGGCAGAGAGAAAGGGAGAGAGAGAATCCCAAGCAGGCCTCACATTCAGCATGGGGCCTCATGTGGGGCTTGATCTCATAACTGTGAGATCATGACCTGAGCTGAAATCAACAGTTGGATGCTTAACTGACTGAGCCCCCCAGGCACCTCTAGAATACAAATTTTATTAGTGGAACTCCTTAGCTGTTTTTGAAGAGATTCTATTTAATGTGTTATTTATAGATTAGGTGTGGACAGAAATATGGGGAATTAGAAAAATGATATAATAATAGGCCACATGCTTTCTTGTTGATCTTGGAAAAGGAAATAATTAACAATATTTGTTAAAATAGGGTAGAATGCATTGTTTTAGGAGTTGCACTAGAAATAATTCAAGGAATTTAAAAGGTAGAAGATGTTGGTCCAGGATGATTTTGTATTTTTGATTATGTGTAAATACTTGAATCATGTGTAACTTTATTTTCTCCATTGGTTTTTTTTTTTTTGAGAGTAAGATTCAAAACAAGTTTGCAGTCATAGTTTGACATGTGTTATTCTTGCTTCATAAGTTCCTGAAATATCTAACTTAATCTCATTTACAAATGAGGTAAGTCAAGTTAAGCAATTTGTTCAAATGACCTGCAGTGAAATATAGACAGCTTTTTTTTTTTTTAAATAATTTTTTTAAAATAATTTTTTGTAATGTTTATTTTTTGAGGCAGGGGGGCAGACAGAGAGAGGGATACACAGAATCTGACAGACAGAGAGACGGATACTCAGAATCTGAAGCTGACAGCACAGAGCCCGATGAGGGACTCACACCCAAGGACCATGAGATCATGATCTGAGCCGAGTTTGATGCTCAGTAGATTGAGCCACCCAGGTGCCCCGAGTGAACTGACAAGAAAAACTCATGAAATCTCATAGGCTTCATGTTGTAGATGACTAAAAATAAACTTCCAAAAATTAAAAGAAATGGTTTTGCTCTTTAAATCATTATAAATACAATTAAAAATAATTTTCTAAATCTTTTTATACAGGTAAGTAAGCAAGCAAAATAACTGAATTAGAACTCACATGTTTTCTTGTCTTTTTTTTTCTTTCTCCCAATAGGACCAGACATATTATCAGTCATTTCAGGTTTCAGAATATGGTAAGAGTTCTTCAGTTTATTTTGAAGGAAAAAATTATTTGTTACTTTTCACAGAGATAAGAGAAATTTCCATTTGCAAGAGATATGTTATTTAAAGTAAAAATCCTAGTGAAAGTAAAATCCTGGTGTTTCTTACAGGTCTAATGTATTTTTTTTTTTAAAGATATAAAAGGTCACTGTAAAGAAAAAATTGGGAAATAGATCACCTATAGTCCCATTATGTGATCTTTTATGCATAATTTTTCTCTTTTTCTACTTTGTTGTGATCTTAACATATTTAAAGATTTGTAATTTTTTTAATGTAACATTAGTTATTTCCCATATTTTTCATTTAGTTGGCTTCGGCAAAGACACTGTTTAATTGGTAAAACTGTTTAATTTGAGTAAAGGCTCTTCTTGCAGGTGTCATGTTTATATCACGGTTAGATACACACAGATAAAAACAGTGTGGTCCAACTCTTGTTGGTAGATGGAGAGGAAGGAAAAATGAGCATGAAAGTAGAGGATCTCGCTAGTAGTTATAAATTGAAAGGCTATTTTGAGGTTACACATGAGCTTTTTCATTTGATTTGTGTCACTTTGACATTGTGTCTCATTCAGGCAATACAAATTCTAGAAAGTAGTTTGTTTACATTTTTGTGGCTCAGGCTCCACATATCTTATATAGCATTGTCACTTCCTAGGTCTCATGATCCCCTAGAACGGGAATCAGCAAAACTTTTTTTCTAGGAAGGGCCAGATATTGAGGCACCTGGGTGGCTCAGTCGGTTAAGTGTCCAACTTCAACTCAGGTCATAGTCTCACAGTTCATGAGTTCGAGCCCTGCATCCGGGTCTGTCTCTGCTGTCAGCACACAGCCCGCTTCGGATTCTCTGTCTCCCTCTCTCTCTGCCCCTCCCCTGCTCATGCTCTCTCTCTCTCTGAAAAATAAATAAAACATTAAAAAAAGGGCCAGATAGTAATATTTTAGGCTTTGTGGCCCATAGGTCTCTGTCATAACTATTCAACTTTGCTATTGTAGCAGGAAGCAGCCATAGACAATATGTGAGTGAATGTGGCTGTGATCCAGAGAAATTTTATTTACAGACACAGAAATTAAAGTTTCCTGTAATTTTCACATGTCATAAAATACTCTTCTTTGAATTTTTCCCCAATGAATTAAAAATGTAAAAACTATTCTTCGCTCATGCTGGTTATTATTTACTGACCCCTAATCTATAACTGTTTTGTTCACTTTGGAGATCACTTACCATATATAGCTCTTGAGTACGTGAAGTGTGGCTAGTCCGAGTGGAGGTGTGCTCTAAGGGGGTAAAAGGTCAAATTTTGAAGACTTAGTGCAAAAAGAAGAAAGGAAAAGAGCTCATTAATAATATCTTTTTATATTGAGAATATGTTGAAATGATAATATTTTGGGCATGTGGCATCAAATACAATGTAACAAAATTTATTTTCACTTCTTAAAAATTTTTTTTAAATGTTTTATTTATTTCTGAGAGAGAGAGAGAGAGACAGTGTGAGCAGGACAGCATGAGCAGGACAGCGTGAGCAGGGGAGTGTCAGAGAGAGATGGAGACACAGAGTCCGAAGCAGGCTCCAGGCTCTGAGCTAGCTGTCAGCACAGAGCCCAGTGCGGGGCTCGAACCCATGAATTGAACCGTGAGATCATGACGTGAGCCGAAGTTGGACGCTTAACCAGCTGAGCCACCCAGATGCCCCCTTTTTACTTCTTAAATGTGGCTATTAGAAATTTAAAATTCCATATGTGGCTCACATTTTATTTCTTTTGGATAGCCCTGACCTAGAAGAATAAGTCAGAGGGGTCAAGGTTTTTATAGGCTATTTTATTTATCTTTTATTTTTTAAAAAATGTTTATTTATTTTGAGAGAGAGAGAGAGGGAGCGAGCGAGCAGGGGAAGGGCAGAGAAAGAGGGAGAGAGAGAATCCCAAGCACACTCTGCATTGTCAGCACAGAGCCCAACATGGGGCTCAATCCCAGGAGCTGTGAGTTCATGACCTAAGCTTATATCAGAAGTCTGACTCATAACTGACTGAGCCACCCAGTGCCCCTACTCTATTTTCATTTCACATAGAGCTGGTGCTGGGTGGTTATATGTTGTTGAATTGGATATGGGGGAGGTGGGGAATTGATTGTCAGCCTGTGGTGTTTGAGGAGAGGACATCAGAATTCTTTGTTCTAAGGAAATTCCACTTCTGAATGAATCATGTGGCTTTTTTGCCTTTCCAGGCCTAGATTTGTCAAAAAGTATCTTGACAGACTAAGGGCCTTTGGCCTGGTTTGGAGCTTGAGGTCTGATCTATATTGTTGACACATTGGTCTTCTTGATACTTGTATTAATTGAATGATGTGATGCTTTGTAATAGCTAGTGAAGTTAGAGAAAAAATTTTCTATTAGACTGGAAGGATACAAATGTTTTTTACTCTGACGGTATGCCTTATATCAAATAGTGTTCATATTTATAAAATATCTCATATCTTGATTGTATAAAGCTGACCAAACTAGGGGTTGTTAGCTTTGGGATTGCCTGTAGAAATCACTGTCACACAAGAAGAAGCATCATTACTCTGTAGCTGTATCTTAGTGATTAACTTAGAAATCCTACTACACAACTTTCTCTTCACAGCAATTATTACATTAGACTGTCACGAGATTTGCCTTTGTTGCAAAAAATAAAGATTCTGCATGGCTGCATATATAGAACCATGTAGAGGGAGAGTCTTGGGGCCTCAGAATATGCTTGTAGTAACCAAGTTGGAGAATGGTCCTAGGGAAGGGGCTGCTGTAGAAGCAACTATTTACCATGGGATGTGGAAGTATTTTAACATGTAGTAAGGCAGCCCTGATGGGTGATGGTTGAAGAAATGCCTGGTTTCCCAGCATTCAGATGCCTTAGCATCTAGGGTTCTGGATACTGATGAGAAGCTTCCACTGACACAAGTGTCCATCGCAACTGGTCCCCGCTGTCACTGTCTATCACCAGCCTTGTAAGGGTGAACTGCAGTGCTTTTCATGTGTGTTAATGTGTATTTGAGATCTAAGGAATCTAAGTTCAAAGAGTATAATTGTTGACTCCTTTAGAATAATTTAGTCTTTATTTTCTTAAGCTAAAAATGATAGTAAAATGGATTAAGATATTTACCCTTGCTTCTCTTTTCCAGTATTACCAAAATTTGAAGTTACTTTGCAGACACCATTATACTGTTCTTTGAATTCTAAGAGCTTAAATGGTACTGTCACAGCAAAGTAAGTATCATTTTTTTTAAATGGATAATGCTGTTATAAAACTATCTGACAAAGAGCTCATTTTATACTCTGGAGTGTTCGTACAATATTCTGGTTATTAAAATACCTCAATGGGCAGGAAACAAATACCTATAATAAATAATTAAGCATGGAACATGTCTGCACAGGTCTTTAGACCCATCTGTCTGCTTCCAAGCTGATCCAGTCCTAAAATATTTCCCACGGACAAGTATCTTCCTCAGACAAGTCAGGGGATTTACATTATAGATTGTTCCAGATTAAAAAAAAAGTTATATCTTTATTCTTAATTCAGCTGACATGGATAGAGGCTACTTACCTATACTTAAATTTTTTTTTTTTTGTGAGAGAGAAAGGGCACAAATGAGCCAGGAGTACAGAGAGAGAGGAAGAGAGAGAGAGAAAGAGAGAGAGAAGCGGTGGTCACCCAAAGTGGAGCTCGAGCTCACCCGTTGTGGGACTTGAACTTGTGAACTGTGAGATCACGCATGACCTGAGCTGAAGTCACATGCTTAACGACTGAGCCATCTAGGCACCCTACCTCTTCTTAAATCTTATTTTTTTTTCTATCAACAATGGAGGTTGAATCATGGGGGAGGGATTTGGTTGACTGATTGCAATTAGCAAATGAGTAAATCGTTCACAGTCCTGTCATTTCAGCAGATGTACACAGAGAGATTCCGACCCACCCTATATGACAGCTGTATCGTGGCTCTCATGATTTTGATCTGGTGGCTCGGACAGATAGTATTCATTTTGCTAAGGCAAAAAGCATCCCAGACTAGGGGTTCTCAAAAATGTGGGCTGGGGTTATTCCAGGACTGATTATCTGTAGCGCTCACTTTTGATGTGTCAATAGCTGTGCTTTGGTTTCTGAAATGTATTTAGTTTCAGACTTTATTTGTAATATCTCATAGACACTAGACTCCCTCTCACTGCTTGCTCATCACCATATTCCTTTCTTGGTGAGGGTTTGTGGTGGTGGCAAGTGACGAGCATGAGTCTTCTGCAGAAGCAGTCCATAGACAAAACATTCTGAGGACTTCTGCTTCAGATTTTATTTGGGGAAAACACCCATGCAAATACCATGCAACACGAAGGCAAAAATGTGTCTACAATTTATATACAAATTAGTTTTCTCCCTGTGTTTAATTAAGAGGTGGCTTCCAATATGAATTTGGGTACCATGGATGGATTTATGGTTTAGAAAACACATAAATGCCTGCATTTTACATAATTATGATCCTGCCCTTGATCTTAGCTGAAGGCTAAGGATTCTCTCCGGATTTTATTTTGAGTTTCCTGACTAGTGTTTATAAAAGAGTGAGTGCAAATCTACACAAACCATCAGGGTCCTCACAGTTAGGTTGAGTGTGGATGCCTTCTTTGCTTCTGTTTCTGGTTTTCCAAGGACTGTGCCAGGGATTCACTACAATCCGTTAAAACAGTGGTTCTTAAACTCTGCTAACTCTTCAGAAAGTTTTATATATAATTTTAGGGGGTGTGGGTCCCCTGACACCCTCCTCCCTGCTAGCCTAGTGAGAACCCTAACAGGAGCATATCTTTACTTGCTAGAGGGGATGCTGATAATTCATGAGTCGCTTAATAAAGCCAATTATATATATATATATATTTTTTTTTTAAATTTAAAAAAAGAACCCTTGTAGTTTTGTTCTGATTCTCATTTGTTGAGCCTCTTTGAAATACTAATGGCTGAGAGCAGCATGACCATAGTGATGGCCCCTGGTATTTCTTTAGCATTCATGACAGTGTACTCACACTTTCCTTAGTATGTGTATCAGCCAAGGTTCCACAGGAAAAGTAGAGCCAGTAGAAGATACATATTAAGAGATTGTTGCAAAGGTTGTTGATGATGAGGATGATGATTCCATGAGTGGATGCTTGACAGTTTGGGCTTTTCTTGTGCTAGTAGCCATCAGTCCCATCAAGGCATAGTTAATGTGAAGAGCATTGCTGGAAATTTCCCAGAGAAGAAGGTTAACAGTCTTTTTTTTTTTTTTTCTTTTGAAATCTTTAACTAGGATGAATAAAAATCTGCATTTGTTTATTAGCTTTGATGTGAACATCTGCTCACTATTCCCACCTCATTAAAATAAATAATAGACTTTTCCGCTAACCACAGAAGGTTCTAGAGGATTGTAAAGAAAATAACATAGGACACATCTAGTTATTTTTGTATATTCTGCAGACAATGAAATTTAAAAAAATAGTCTTTAATCTAAAATTGATTTAAGTGTATTTATTATTTGATGAATTGAGAAATTTGTATCCTGGAAATGACATGGAAAAAAACGGTGGGCGAAACATGAATTATATTGATAGGTTCAATTTTTTAGGTATCATTTTGTAAACCTTTTGTGCTATGGCAGTTTAAAAAATATCTTGGTTTTGTTTATGATACTACCCCAGAATAAGCTTGATTTGCTTTTTTAAATGTTGTCAAACTATTATTTTCTAAATCATTAGTTTATTCCAAATGCTTCCAAATTTATTTAGGACAATAACTGTCAGTATCCTTGTTTCACTATTATTATGATTAGCTTAAGGTATAGAAAGCTAAATCTGCTCCACATTTAAGCAACAACAACAAAATATTTGTGTCTGAGAATACTTTAAATTATGTCTGGATTTTCAAGCCCCCTGTACTATCATGTGATATAACTCTTTTGCATTATAATGTTCTGGTGTCCTAGTTATGCATTTATTTAATCTTTAACAAAGTATGAGCGAAATTGGGTTTGGGGACTCTTTTTTGAATTAATGAATTTGGTGCTGAAGTTGCTGACCAGGATTTCCACTAACTTTACTGTTTTCATTTGGGTGATATATTTGAAAATGGATTTGTTTTATTCTCTTTAATTTGGAATGTGCTTTATTTTACCATTGGCTTTTGAGTTGAGTTGATCCAGATGAGGAGCTGTTTCTCTGTTCAACTAATGGATTCAGGAAACAGGAGTTTACTGTTAGATTTATAGAGTGCAGAGCAAAATTGACTTCCATGTTTGGCCGAGCATTTATTACACAATAGAGATGGAAGGAACCCAGGAAACACATTTAAAAAAGACTTTCTGGCAGTAAAATGGTTTACGAAAGATTTGCCTATGTTTCACATGAAGAGATTTTTCCTATCATTAGAGGGATAAAATTAATACATAGAATGTAAAGCAGCAGAAATGAGATTTGATTCAAGATAATTTTGATACTATGGAGAAAGAAAATGACTCTTCATTTAAATTTTTTTGCACAAATCCAAGTTTTGATAACCATGAGGACATTTGGTGCCCCATTATGTTGTCTAGTAAATCCTTTTGGTAAATATTGGAACATGTAATAATGGGCCTTGGGAGACTGAAATTTCAACTAACATTTAAAAATGTTCAAAAGCTGTGATATATCCTGGGCACACAGTTAATGGGCCAGTCCAGACTTCTAGGAATAAAACATTCTTGTGATTTAAAGAAGATCTTTGGACAGGAAATTGTCACTTGCAATTATGATTATATTTTCTCTGGAGTCTCTAAACTGGTTAGAGGTAAAGTATGTATTATGAACGGTTTTGAAGTATTGTAGTTAAAAGTTTTCTCATTTTGGAGACTTAGTTTCAAGGATCACCATTTATTTATTTATTTTTTCCTTAAATAGTTTACTGTCAAGTTGGTTTATATATAACACCCAGTGCTCATCCCAACAAGTGCCCTCCTCCATGCCCATCACCGTCCTTCCCCTCTTCCCCACTCCCATCAGCCCACAGTTTGTTCTCAGCATTCAAGAGTCTCTCATGGTTTGCCTCCCTCCCTCTCCCCAACTATTTTTCCCCTTCTTCACCCACATCATCCTCCATTAACTTCCTCCTAATCCACCTATATGTGCAAACATATGGTATTTGTCCTTCTCTGCCTGACTTATTTCGCTCAGCATAACACCTTCTAGTTCCATCCACGTTGCTACACGTGGCCAGTTTCATTATTTCTCATTGCCATGTAGTATTCCATTGTATAGATAAACCACATCTTCTTGATCCATTTGTCCGTTGATAGACACTTAGGTTTTTTCCATGATTTGGCTATTGTTGAGAGTGCTGCTATGAACATTGGGGTACATGTGCCCCTATGCATCAGCACCCCTGTATCCCTTGGGTAAATTCCTAGCAGTGCTACTGCTGGGTCATAGGGGAGTTCTAGTGTTAATATTTTGAGGAACCTCCACACTGTTTTCCAGAGGGGTTGCACCAGCTTACATTCCCACCAACAGTGCAGGAGAGTGCCCATTTCTCCACATCCTTGCCAGCATCTATAGTCTTCTGATTTGTTCCTTTCAGTCACTCTGACCGGCGTGAGGTGGTATCTCCGTGTGGTTTTGATTTGTATTTCCCTGATGAGGAGGGATGCTGAGCATCGTTTCATGTGTCTGTTGGCCATCTGGATGCCCTCTTTGGAGAAGTGTCTGTTCATGTCTTCTGCCCATTTCTTCACTGGATTATTTGTTTTTTGGCTGTGGAGTTTGATGAGTTCCAAATAGATATTGGATACTAGCCCTTTATCTGATAGGTCATTTGCAACTATCTTTTCCCATTCCGTTAGTTGTCTGTTAGTTATATGGATTGTTTCCTTTGCCGTGCAGAAGCTGTTTACTTGATGAGGTCCCAATAGTTCATTTTTGCTCTTGATTCCCTTGCCTTTCGGGATGTGTCAAGTAAGAAATTGCTGCGGTTGAGGACAAGGAGGGTGTTTCCTGCTTTGTCCTCTAGGGTTTTGATGGTTTCCTGTCTCACATTCAGGTCCTTTATCCATTTTGAGTTTATTTTTATGTATGGTGTGAGAAAATGATCTAGTTTCATTCTTCTGCATGTTGCTGTCCAGTTCTCCCAGCACCATCTGTTAAAGAGGCTGTCTTTTTTCCATTGGATGCTCTTACCCGCTTTGTCAAAGATTAGTTGGCCTCACATTTATAGGTCCAATTCTGAGTTCTCTATTCTATTCGATTGGCCTATGTGTTTGTTTTTGTACCAATACCATATTGTCTTGATGATTACAACTTTGTAGTAGAGGCTAAAGTCTGGGATGGTGATGCCTCCTGTTTTGGTTTTCTTCTTCAATATTACTTTGGCTATTCAGGATCTTTTGTGGTTTCATACAAATTTTAGGATGGTTTGTTCTAGTTTTGAGAAGAATGCTGGTGCAATTTTGATTGGGATTGCATTGAATGTGTAGATTGCTTTGGGTAGTAATGACATTTTAACAATATTTATTATTCCGACCCATGAGCATGAAATGTTTTTCCATTTCTTTGTGTCTTCTTCAATTTCCTTCATAAGTTTTCTATAGTTTTCATCAGACAGATCTCCTATATCTTTGGTTAGGTTTATTCCTAGGTATTTTATGGTTTTTTTGTGCAATTGTGAATGGGATCAGTTTCTTGATTTCTCTTTCTGTTGCTTCATTATTGGTGTATAAAAATGCAACCGATTTCTGTATGTTGATTTTGTATCCTGCAACATTGCTGAATTCCTGGATCAGTTCCAGTAGGCTTCTGGTGGAGTCTGTCAGGTTTTCTATGTAGAGTGTCATATAGTCTGTGAAAAGTGAAAGTTTGACTTCTTCTTTGCCAATTCTGATGCCTTTGATTTCCTTTTGTTGCCTGATGGCTGATGCTAGGACTTCCAGCACTATGTTAAACAACAGTGGTGAGAGTGGACATCCCTGTCGTGTTCCTGATCTCAGGGGGAAAGCTCTCAGTTTTTCTCCATTGAGGATGATGTTAGCTGAGGGCTTCTCATAGATGGCTTTTATGATGTTTAAGTAAATTGCTTATCCCGACGTTCTCGAGGGTCTTTATTAAGAAGGGATGCTGTACTTTGTCTAATACTTTTTTGCATCTATCGGCAGGATCATATGGTTTTTATCTTTTCTTTTGTTAATGTGATGTATCACATTGATTGATCTGTGAATATTGAACCAGCCCTGTAACCCAGGAATGAATCCCACTTGATCATGGTGGATAATTCTTTTTATGTGCTATTGGATTCGATTTGCAAGTATCTTGTTGAGGGGTTTTGCATCCGTATTCATCAAGGATATTGGCCTGTAGTTCTCCTTATTTGCTGGGTCTCTGTCTGGCTTGAGAATCAAAGTGATTCTGGCTTCGTAAAATGAGTCTGGAAGTTTTCCTTCAATTTCTATTTTTTGGAATAGCTTGAGAAGAATCGGTATTAATTCTGTTTTAAATGTCTGGTAGAATTCCCCAGGGAAGCCATCTGGTCCATGGCTCTTATTTGTTGGGAGATTTTGATAACAGATTCAATTTCCTCACTAGTTACAGGTCTGTTCCGATTTTCTATCTCTTCCCGTGTGAATTTTGGTAATGAGCATGTGTTTAGGAATTTGTCCATTTCTTCTAAGTTTTCTGGTTTGTTGACATATAATTTTTCATAGTATTCCTTGATAATTGCTTGTATTTCTGAGGGGTTGGTTGTAATAAGTCCATTTTCATTCATGATTTTGTCTCTTTGGGTGCTCTCTCTTTTCTTTTTGAGAAGCCTGGTTAGAGGTTTGTCAATTTTGTTTATTTTTTCAAAAAACCAATTCATGGTTTCATTGATCTGTTCAACTATTTTTCCTTTTTTGGTTTCTATATTGTTTATTTCTGCCCTGATTTTTATTATTTCTCTTCTCCTACTGAGTTTGGGGTGCTCCTGTTGCTCTCCCTATAGTTCCCTAGGTATTCTGTTAGATTTTGTATTTGCACTTTTTCTAATTTCTTGAAATAGGCCTGGAGTGCAATGTACTTTTCTCCTAGGACTGCCTTTGCCACATCCCATAGAGTTTGGATTGTTGTATTTTCATTTTCATTCATTTCCATATATTTCTAAGTTTCTTCTCTAAATGCCTGATGGATTATTTGTTCTTTAGTAGAGTGTTCTTTAATCTCTATGTTTATGGAGGATTTCCAGACTTCTTCCTGTGATTGATTTCAAGTTTCATAGCATTGTGATCTGAAAGTGTGCATGGTATGATCTCAATTCTTTTATATTTATTGAGGGCTGCTTTATGTCCCAGTATGTGATCTATCTTGGAGAATGTGCCATGCGCACTTGAGAAGAAAGTGAATTCCATGACCTCAGGATGTAGAGTTCTAAGTATATCTTTCAAATCTATCTGGTCCAATGTGTTATTCATGTCCATTGTTTCTTTAGTGATTTTCTGTCTAGTTGATCTATCCATTGCTGTAAGTGGAATATTAAAGTCCCCTGCTATTAGCACATTCTTATCCCTAAGATTGTTTCTGTTTGTGTTTTTTATATATTTAGGTTCTCCCATATTTTGTGCATATTAGGTGCCCTTCTTCATCCCTTGTTACTGTCTACTTTAAAGTCCAGTTTGTCGGATATTAGTATAGGTACTCCAGCTTTCTTTTGAATTCCAGTAGCATGATAGATATTTCCCCATCCCCTTACTTTCAATCTGAAGGTGTCCTCCAGTCTAAAATGAGTTTCTTGTAGACAGCAAATAGATGGATTTTGTTTTTTTTATCCATTCTGCTACCCTATGTCTTCTGATTGTAGTATTCAGCCCATTTACATTCAGTGTTATTATTGAAATATATGGGTTTAGAATCATTGTGTCCTTTGTGGGATTCATACTTGTGGTGGTGTCTCTGGTATCTTGCATTCCTTGCAACGTTTTGGCAGAGTCCCCCTCAGGATTTCTTGTAGGGCTGGTTTAGTGGTGACAGGTTCTTTCAATTTTTGTTTATTTGGAAAAAGTTTGATCTCCCCTTCTATTCTGAATCACAGGCTTGCTGGATAGAGGAATCTTGGCTGCATATTTTTCCGTTTATCACATCTCCTGCCATTCCATTCTGGCCTGCCAAGTTTCAGTAGATAGGTCTGTCACCAAACTGATAGGTTTCCCTTTGTATGTTAGGGCCCTTTTCTCCCTAGCTGCTTTCAGAATTCTCTCTTTGTCCCTATATTTTGCCAGTTTCACTATGCTATGTAGTGCAGAAGATCGATTCAAGTTACGTCTGAGGGGAGTTTCCTGTACCTCTTGAATTTCAATGTATACTTCTCTCCCCAGGTTGGGGAAGTTCTCAGCTATAATTTGTTCAAAGACTCCTTCAGCACCTTTCTCTCTCTCTTCCTCTTCTGGAATTCCTATGATACGGATAATGTTCCATTTGATCGTATCGCTGAGCTCTCAAACTCTCCTTTCGTGTTCCTGGATCAGTTTATCTCTCTTTTTCTCAGCTTCCTCTTTTTCTATAATTGTGTCTTCTAAATCACTTATTCTCGTTTCTGCCTCTTCTTTTATTTTTTTTTTTGAGTTTTAGAAATTATTATGTTTTACTTATTTTTTTACAAACAGTTAATATTGTCAAGTTGGTTTTTTTTGAGCTTTAGAAATTATGTTTTATTTACTTATTTATTTATTTTACAATATTTCCTTTCTGCCTCTTCAATCCGTGCATTGGATGCCTCCGTTTTTATTATGCATCTTATTTATAGCATTTTTTAATTCATCACAACTATTTTTAAGCTCCATAGTCTTTGTAGCAATAGTTTCTCTGATGTCGTCCATGTGTTTTTCAAGCCCAGCGATGAACTTTATGACTATTCTAAATTCTTGTTCAGTTATGTTGCTTATATCTGTTTTGAGCAGTTCTTTATCTGTCATTTCTTCCTGGAATTTCTTTGGAGGAGAGTTCTTCTGTTTCATCATTTTGGTTAGCTTTCTATCTCTTGTTAATTTTAAAAACTTGTTATGCACTCGGCCCCTGTGCATGCTGCTGTATTAAAGAGGGTTCTTTGACTGTCCAGGGCCTGTCCATTCAGGCAGTGTTCTTTGGATGGTGTCTCTTGGTTTCTCTTGTTGAGACTTTGGTTCTTTTGTTTCCCTGCTTGTAGTGGTATTTGGGACTCTCCACCATGTGTACTTTGGCTTGTTTCTTGAGGCAGCCACACTTAGGAGTTTCCTTCCCAGTGTATTCTCTCTTGTTCTCTTCCCAAACTCCTGTGGCTCAGTGTCCTGTGACTTCATGCTTTCCCAGTTTGAGAGATAGGTGTAAGCGAAATGCACGGAGCTCCCTACTTCTCTGCCATCTTGCCCCTGCCACTAAGGATCACTGTTTATTAAGGATATTCCTAGCTGTGTTTATTTTTAAAAATTTGCAGTGAGAGGAACTTTAAAAATATAATTCTTTTTTTTTTTAATGTTTTATTTATTTCTAGGAGAGAGAGAGAGAGAGACAGCGTGAGCAGGGGAGGGTCAGAGAGGGAGTCACAGACTGAAACAGGCTCCAGGCTCTGAGCTGGCAGTCAGCACAGAGCCCGACGCGGGGCTCGAACCCACGAACCGTGAGATCATGACCTAAGTGAAAGTCGGACGCTTAACCGACTAAGCCACCCAGGCGCCCCAAAAATATAATTCTTTTAAGTTAGATTAGCAGTGTATGCTGTTGAAACTAATATTTTTGTGTGCTATTTTGATAATATGAAGTTGAAAATGTAAAAAATAATTTATTATTTTTCAGGTATACATACGGGAAGCCAGTGAAAGGAGATGTAACACTTACATTTTTACCTTTATCCTTTTGGGGCAGGAAGAAAAATATTACAAAAAATTTTAAGGTAACTTCTGCAGAGATCTTATAACTTCAAATGGGGAAACACTAGAAGTATACTTTTCCTAGAAATGATATTTTATACTGAATTAACAAAAAATTGAGTGCAAGAAAAGAATTTTCTGCATTGTACAAATGAGAATTGGCCCATTTATAATGATTAAAATAGAACCAGAACTATCATATTTTTGTGACTTAGTTTGAGTTTTATTTCTAAAATTTGAATTGCTAAAGTGAAGAATAAAATTGAATTATTTTAAACAAAACAGATAAATGGATCTTCAAACTTCTCTTTTAATGATGAAGAGATGAACAAAGTAATGGATTTTTCGGAAGGGCGTTCTGAATACATGTATCTGTCTTCTCCTGGGCCGGTGGAAATTTTAGCCACAGTGACAGAATCACTTACAGGTTTGTAGACCTTGAATTGAAGATAAAGTTATTTACATGGTGCTCTTTTTTCTTCTTTCTTATTATAACTAGCATATTCATTTGAGGGCCTTTCTAAAGATGCTATTTAATGCTGAATTTGTCATGACTATTAATTAGTGTTACTTGCAGAATGTTCTCATAATGAAGAGGAACTTATTTTCTATGACAGTCTGTCTTTCAACCACATGTAATAGGTATTTTTAATTTTCTCCATTTCTGCTCTTTCTTTTTCAAAACTACATGCACTGCGTGGAAAGGCTTACCTTTTCAGCTGACTAACCATCTTCTGTTTTTTTTTTTTCTTAATCATTTAAGCTCTTGTCTGCTCATGAGCAGTTTTTCTCTGTCAGTAATAAAATAAGAATTAATTACTTGGATGTTTCTGTTGTTATCAACAGCTTTCACAAACCCTGAAAGAGCAAAAGATGATTCAGTCAAGACCTTAGTCTTCAGTGTACATGTTGTGCGTGGGCATAGCAGTAATGGTGCTCAAGAGGGGTCCATGGAGGATGTAATAGAACTGTATGGTTCTCTTCATGGCCAAGCCAGTGTGGGAATGAGGCTTCTGTGCTCTGATACCTTAAACCCTTGGGGAAGTAGCTTATAGAGAAATTTGATGAATAGAAGCTGTTTGTGAAGTGTTAACATTTAGTTTCTAAATGGTGCAATTTCCAAAACAGGTATCTCAAGAAATGCAAGTTCTAATGTATTTTTCAAGCAACATGATTACATCATTGAGTTTTTTGATTATGCTGCTGTCCTGAAGCCATCTCTCAACTTTACAGCCACTGTAAGTTGGCGTGTTTATTAATGATCTATACAGTAAGTTCAGTTTAATGAAACAATGGTAGATAATATTTTCAGTACTTAAAAAAAACCCTGAAGCCCAAAGTAGATAATTTTCCCTTTTAGATATATGAAGTATATAAGATTGTTCCCAAATGACCTTTGTCTAAGGTTTCTAAAAAAGTAGTGTCCAACAAAAGTATTTTCCTCAAAAATTTTTCAATAAGCAGTTTAAGTTAGAATTGGATTGCTACATCAAAGCTTTTATAAATTACTAGAAAGGATTAGATGTTAGTTAAAAAATTTCAATTTCAGTTTGATTTTCATAATGACTAATTTTAGTTCTAGCAAAGATGTTGCATTAAAATTATTAACAAATCTATTATTATTATTATTATCATTATTTGAGTTAACACTTATTAAGTGAATTTTGACAATGTGGAAGGCAGGGTGCTGGGTGGGATTCACAGTTTTTATGATAGTAACAACTATGATTTTAGTCAGGAAAAGGTCAATATCATGAGTATATTTCTGTAGTGATTTAAAGAAAGGACTGGCAAACTTTTTCTACAAAGGGCTAGATAGTAAATATTTTTTAGCTTAGTGGGACATATTGTCTCTGTGACAGCTACCTAACTCTGCCATTGTAGCATGAAAGCAGCCATAACTACTTCATAACCAAATGAGGGTGGCTATGTCTAAAAAACTTTATTTACAAAAGACTGGATTTGGCTTCCCTGCCTGCCATAGTTTGCTAATCTCTGGTTTAAAGAAAGAAAGTGTCGTTTCTTGTTGAATGGATCAAGAGAAGTTTTAGATAATTCCTGATTTGAATGATCGTATAATTTAGTTTGAAAAGATAAGAAAAAAAAAAAACCAACCTTGAGGCTGCAAATGGTAACTTCCAAATGAATAGAGTGAAACATTGAGAGTTTGGGGAGGAGGAGTTGGCTTTGGGATAGGGATGAGGCTCATTAAAGGACGCTTTATGGAAGAGGAGGATATAAGCTATTTGTTAAAAGATCAGTAGGATTTTAATTTCATTTTTTAAAAATGTTTTTTATTTATTTCTGAGAGAGAGAGAGAGAAAGAGAAAGCGACCGGGGAGGGTCAGAGAGAGAGGGAGACACAGAATCTGAAGCAGACTCCAGGCTCTGATATAGCTGACAGCACAGAGCCCGATGCGGTGCTTGAACCCATGAACCATGAGATCATGACCTGAGCCAATTTTGGATGCTTAACCGACTGAGCCACCCAGGCACCCCAAAAGATCAGTAGGATTTTAAATGTTTGGTATAAGGGTGGGAGATGGAGAGTTAGATGTGCTGAGACACAGGTGAGAGCCCTGCTTCGCAAGTTCAGGTACCTTCACCTGGATCTGTACAGTTGTAGCAGAGAGTTTGTGTCCAGGAGTGGTGAGAGAGAAAACAAGGGGTGAAGTGTGGGGAGTTGTAGAGGATCCTAAATGGCACATGCATGTTTTTGACCTTTATGGCTTAGTCAGTGAAGAGCTTAGGAGCCTTACGAATTTAAGAGGGGTATGGCGAGAGCAGTATTCCAGGGAGACCGATCGGGGTGTGTGTGGGAGGTTGGCTGTAGCCCAGGTGTGAGGTGGCGAGGGGCCTTGATGGGGTGGATGTGCAAGTGGATGCAAGACTTGGTGTATATTGGATTTGGGTGGTGGGAAGAGGTAGGGGGAAATTCAGAGATGTTAAATCTGCAGAATTAAGGTGTTAGCAAAAATAAAAGAGGCAAGATGGTTGCTCAGTTATAGATATACTGAATTTGGGGTGACAGGGACATACAGGTAGAAATTTCCTTCAAGTAGAAATTGGAGGTGTTGAGTATGAGCTCCAGAGCCAGGTGAGGAAAGCAGTAAGAGTCATGAGATCTTTGAGGAAAAGAGAAGCACAGATAACTGGTAATTTGACCTTGACAAATTCCCCAATTTAGGGAAAGGAAGGAAGAACCCAAACAGACTCTGTGAGGATGCAGAAAGAGGACTTTGAAACAAAGAAAGCTGTTGTGGAGCCATGGAAGGCAAGAGAAGCAATAATATCAAGAAGGGAATGATCAGTAGTGTTGGATTTCATCTAGAGAGTGCTTCTTCTGGAAGTTAGGGTATTGGCAACAGTTTTTGAGAGTTCAGTTTCATGAGAATAGCACAGATGGGAACTGGATTCAACTGAACTTAAATTCTTTGCTTTTCTTGTTACCCATTTTTAAATTGTTGTGTTTTGACAATTAGGTGAAGGTAACCCGTGCTGATGGCAATCTACTGACTTTTGAAGAAAGAAGAAATAATGTAGTTTTAACAGTGACACAGAAAAACTCTTCCGAGAACTGGAGCCGATGGATCAGTACCAGGAACCAGGAAATGAAAGCTGTCCAGATCATAAATTATACTGTCCCTCAAAATGGAATCTTTCAGATTGAATTCCCAGTCCTGGACGATTCCAATGAGCTACAGTTAGAGGTGCCCTCTGTTTCTCATCATTATGTTACTGCAACAACATCATTAAAATTGTAATCTTGTGGTAGGCACTCAAACCATTAGAGGTCAAAGTGCACAGGAAGTAGGGAGTAGACACATGTTTCTATTTTAAAAATGGGGGAAAGTGTTAAAAGTAATTTAGTAACAGTGGGTGAGAGGTAGACCAAATGCTTCCTTGTAAGTTCATTCTGAAGATGTAAAATATAGTAATCTGAAGGCATGATGAAGAAGCTCCCCAAATTCCCATCCCCGATTGGTTTTCAGTTATTTGAAAGTATATTTTGGCAGAAGCTGAAATGAAAAAGGAAAATATTTTTTTAAACCTGTATTCCTTTGCCAAGTTCTTTCTCAGAGTGGCTCATCTGAGACCCACCCCCCACCCCCAACCATTCCTGCTATCTTTCTTTTCGTTACTTGGTTCTGCCACACTTTTGGCCATTTGACTTTTACACTGTTGGTAGATCACATGGGTTGATATGATTTCTTGCTTGTAAATGAACTGTGTGTGTGGAAAGAAGGAAAAGGAATCGTTTCTCATTTGTTCTCTCTTCTCACCATGTTTCCTGATAATATGCTTTTCTTTCTGAAATAAGTTAGGACTACACTTTTACCTCTTAGATTATGGTGATAAAGACCCTTTTCGTGTTTTAATTTAAAGCTATCACTTTCTTTATAGTATAAGCTATAAAATGATGAAGGGCCAATGGTTGGGGAACAGATTTTTCCTGCAGGAAAAAAAGGAAAAGTACATTTGCCTTTCAGGAATTGTAAAACAGTATCTTTTCTCAGGGTGTTACTGAAGATGAAAATTTGTAGCTCTCTTTTCTTTTGTTATAGGCCTCTTTTCTTAATAGTGTCAGTAACATGGTCGTTCATGGTATGTTTAAGTCTCCCAGTAAAGAATACATCCAGCTAAAAACAAGAGATGAAAATATAAAGGTAATGCTTACAGTCACCTATAATTACAATATAATTGTACTCTTTTGCCATTAATATGTGTTTCTTAATTAAGATTTTTTTTCTAGGTGGGATCACCTTTTGAGTTGGCGGTTAGTGGCAACAAGCCACTAAAGAAGGAGTTAAGCTATATGGTAATCTCTTAGAGAATCTAAATTTATTATCTCTTATAGGATCATCTCAAATAAGCTACCTTATGTCTACCTTATGTCTATACTAAACTCACTAATTTTTATGTTTATTTTTAAAGTTTATTTATTTATTTTGAGGGAGAGAGAGAGAAAGAGAGAGTGTGTGTGTGAGCGGGGAAGGGGCAGAGAGAGAGGGAGGGACAGAGAATTCCAAGCAGGCTCCACACCATCAGTGTGGAGCCCAACAGGGGGATCAAACTCACAAATCGTGAGATCGTGACCCAAGCTGAAACCAAGAGTCAGACACTTAACTGGCTGAGCCACCCAGGCGCCCCTAGACTTAACTCATTAATTTTTAAAATTCAGCCTCATACCCTTTAGCCTGCCCTTTTTATGTTGCAGTCAAAATTTCTTTTTTCTCTTTTCACTTACATTTCGTTTTCCAGTTTAAGATGGATGATTAAATCTTGCATTCTGTTTAAAATTTAAATTTCTAGGGGTACCTGAGTGGCTCAGTCAGTTAAGCGTCCTACTTCGGCTCAGGTCATCTTCTCACAGTTCGTGGGTTCAGGTCCTGCATTGGGCTCTGTGCTGACAGCCAGCTCAGAGCCTGGAGCCTGATTCAGATTCTGTATCTCCCTCTCTCTCTGACCCTCCCCTGCTCACACTCTCTCTTTCAGAAGTAAATTAAAAAAAAATTAAAAAAATAAAATTTAAATTTCTATGAGAGAATCCACATAAGTTCATTGTAGAAAATTATAAAGTATGAGAAAAAAAATTGCTACCCATAGCTTTGAATCTTTCTAATTCAGCTCTCCACAGTGGTGGTCTATATTCTCTACTCAAAAATAAATTAACTGTGAAGCTACTGATGTTCAGTCAGTTATTTCTTTATCTTATCCTTTTCTGTTTCTTAACTTATACTCTATCTGTTGGTCAGGGAGGTTTCCTTGCACTAAAAAATGCTTTGAAGTTGGTTTAAGTGAACAGTTTGTGTGTATGGTTAAACCTGTGATGAATGTCGCTGCAGTTGAGAGTCTCATTAGCTTTGGCATAAAATGAAACTCTTCTGTTACTCTTTTCAGGTAGTATCCAGGGGACAGTTGGTGGCTGTAGGGAAACAAAATTCAACGACCTTCTCTTTAACTCCAGAAAATTCTTGGGCTCCAAAAGCCTGTATTATTGTGTATTATATTAAAGATGATGGAGAAATTATAAATGATGTTCTAAAAATTCCTGTTCAGCTTGTTTTTAAAAATAAGGTAAGATTTAAGATAATGATGTGAGAAGAAAACTTCATACTAGTGAAGTCTGAGAAATGTAATTTTTCTTTAGAAAAGTATCATTAAATAACATTGGTTAGAAATTTATATTCATTTCTAAAACTATGGTTAAATCCCTTCGGTATTGTTACCACAAATGTATTTTCACATGTGGAATTATTGGGCAGTGTGGGTCTTATTTGTAAGTTATGATTCTTGGCTTTAAGACTTAACTCAATTTCATGAAGCTATTTCAGGATTTCTCAAATGACGGAGTCGATATTGCTCTGGCATGCAGTTCCAGCTACGATGCAGAGTTTGTGTGGTGCTGATATTGGTGTGAGAGTGAGATGCAGAGCATGTAGGGAATGAGGCCGTCAGCACTGATAGGTAGAAGCAGAGCCCAAATTGGGTTTATCCATTTCATGGGCCTGGAAACTAACCCAGGACAGATTTATGGGAAGCATGGCTACCTTGCATGTGGAGATCTGTGTGGAGTTTGGTCTCCAAAAGCACCAGGGATTTTTATAGCTTAAGGTGTACTGCTTGTTTGGGACACTCCCTTGAACCCCAATTTTTAGAAGTAACCTAGCTAAAAGAGTGTGCATGATGGAATTGAATCATCTAGTGCATAAGAAAATGAGCCATTGTTCTCACTGAAAGCTGCTGCCTTCTCCGGTTGTTTTAAGCAAAATATTCATTGTTTAAAAAGCATTGATTTGCAAAGTACAGTTCTTTGATAGCACTTCTGTTTGCTTAACTTGTTAACTTCTGAGAAGTTGCAGTAGTCATACATGTCTTTAGTTGACAATTGTTAATTAACTTTGTCAGAATAGAATACAAACTTCTATTTTTCATTTTATGAAAAATGTTTCCAAAGATAATGGTATATACTCTGTTACTTTTCGTGTGCAAATTTTGACTTCTAGTTATTCTATTAATCCCCTGACAAAGATGAATTCTAAAGTAGGAGTTGGACTTAAATACAGAGGCATACATCTCTGAAATTGGGACCAGGTTTTAAAAAAGTTATAGTGTAAGAGGATGTTGGTTTTGAGGAAGCAGAGTATATAAATAGCATAATTCCAAGAAATTTCTTAGTTATGAAAGATAAATATAATTTCAGCTATATTTGCAAAGATACATCTTTCTCTACTTTTATTTTTAAGTAATCTCTATACCCATCATGGGGCTCAAACAAAGTCACACCTTCTACGGACTGAGCCAGCCAGGCGCCCCTCTTTCTCTACTTTTATACGTTTATTACATTACTCACAAAGAAACTACAAATTTGAAAATAGAATATATTTAAGCGAGGGAAAATTAGCGAGTCTTTTGTATGTTCAGTAATGACTGAACGGGATAGGATGCGGAGGCACAAGAGATGGAGGTTTAGAAATCTTCCACTTGCAAGTGTACGTGGAAGCCACGGGGTCCCAGAGGTGCAGAGTCAAGAGTGAGAAGTACGGGTTGGAACATGTTGCTCTCCTCTTCTTCATTTTGGGCATATGCGGGGAAACTTAAACCAAAAGTAAACTAGATACAGTGGTATAAGGGCTATATGTATAAAAAACTTCACTGGACAAGTTAAACAGGCAAGTCTTTATTCAAGACTGTCACAGTAGGGGCGAGAGATTGAATTCAACTTCATGAAAACAAACGGCAGGAGAGGTTAATTAATTATTTATTTAGAGAAAGCATAAGTAGAGGAGGGGCAGAGACAGAGGGAGGGAGAGAGAGAATCCGAAGCACCCTGACAGTGTGGAGCCCAATGCAGGGCTTGAACCCACAAACCGTGAGATCCTGACCCAAAGTCAGACACTTAAATGACTGAGTTGCTCCAAAAGGGAGTAGAGTTTTAAGCAGTGACTGAGCTCGTAGAAAAGTACTGGAGGACACTGAGGGAAGACTGGTCAATATGATTAGGCCATCTGTGTATGCTCACTGGCAATGTATAAGTTAGGCTCCCATCCACCCACAGAGTCTGGGAGATCAATCAGGGATTCTTTTTTTGGTGATTACATTTCAAAGGATTGGCTCCCAGGTCCTTGCGGAAGACATTCTTGGGTTGTAAAGTGGCAAGAGACCAGGAGAAGACTTACATTTCAAAGGGGCAGAGGAAGAATTTACTATTGCAAGTTTTCTAAAGTAAATGCTGTAAGTAAAGGGAGAATCAGGGGCTTATGGTCAGGAAGAAGCCTGTCTAATATTCAGTCAAGTTGAGAGGAACAGTAAGGCCATTTTGGTCAGGTAGTGCAGTCGCTGCAGCAGTGGAATGTTGAAATAGAACTGGACAGCATGGGCCTTCTAGGTGTGAAGGGGCCTCATGACAAAGCCATTCAGTCTTGCTGTGATGAGATGATTGAGGCTCATTAAGAAGTATGAGTTAGGACCATACTTTGATGAATGTAATGAACAGAGGCAGTTCAGGCAGCCATGGGGAACAGAGCGCTGGCCTAACTAGTTTTTGATCTGATCACCTCTTCATTGGAAAGCTATCCCCTTGTCCCCAGCCCAGGTAGTTCTGTGAGTCCCCGAGGGGCCTCTCACTTGACTCACTCTAAGTTCAGGTTACCAGCACGTGGGCATCTTCAGTTTCTCTCCTCCTTCCTGTTCCTTGCCCAGGTGTGCCACACACTGCTGTCTTCTCTTTAGCATTGGCTGGGGGCTGCGGGGTGTGGGATGGAGAAAGGGAAGAAGAAAGGTAGAGAAGTGAAGGATAGTTCAGATTTATGCCACTGTGAGAAGTTCTATTCCTTGCAAAAATTGTGAGTAAAGTTTCTTTTTTTTTTTTAATTCCTTTCTTTATGTATGGTTTTAGAATGATCCCTGAGTAAAGGCAAATGGAGAATCTCTGCTAGATTTTGAGTCCTTGAACTGCTGTTGGTAAGACATGTAAGTAATGCTTTAAAGAAGTCACAGAAATCAATCCTGTTTTCTCCCTTTCCTAGATAAAGCTGTCTTGGAGTAAAGCTCATGCTGCACCATCTGAGAAAGTCTCTCTTAGGATCTCTGTGACACAGCCAGACTCAATAGTTGGGGTTGTAGCTGTCGACAAAAGCGTGAATCTGATGAATGCCTCAAACGATATTACAATGGAAAATGTGAGCATAGCTATTTTTTCATTACAAAAATACATGCTAAACGAGCAAAAAAGAAATTTTATTGCATTACTTCAAAATATCTAAGGGAAATTTCATTGGTTTCTCTTTAAGTATAAATCAGTAATCAGCAAAGTTTCCAAATAAAAAGTATTTGCATTCCGGTTGTTCTGTTGGAAAGAGGCTTATGTGGTGAAGTGTCTTTTCTGTCTTACATGAGAGGCCATCTATAGTTTTTCCCTCATTTTCATACTGTATTTGAATTTAAGGCTCTCAAGAAAGTACCAGGAAATTTACTTGTACAATGTTGGGTGACATTGGAGAAGAGAGCTCTAGATAATTTTGAAGTATTTTCCATTTTAGTTATACATATTGGTTATATATAATTTACAGTCTTACTGAATTTACTATTTGTAGTATATTGAGGGAGTGAAATCATGTTAATCTGCAGAAAACTTATAAACAAAGAAATATATAAACCTCTAGTGTTACATAAACTAATTCTCTACTCGTCAATCAACTTTTCTTTGTAAGTTCATTTTCGTGCTTTTTAATTTGTAAGTTCTTGATATATTCTTGTATATATCCTTTAATACACCCTAGCCATTGTTAGTTGAAATCTAGGTTGTATAACCTGTGTCCATTAATTGATTAAGTGTAGTGATTAACAACATATAGGAAGAAAGATATACATGTTTAAGCTAATTTGGTCATCTTGAGAAAAATTATGTATTTTTTCAGTCTATAAAGCTAATTTTCCTCAAGCCCTTTAAAAAAAGACTCATTTAAATTGGTCATTTTTTTCTCTTGATTTTTGAAAAAATTCATGTTATTCTAAAAAGTCTATAGGATTTTGCATTTGATTTAACTGAATTTAGTAATATCTCATTTTTTAGCTTTTTAAGTATCTTAAATATATTATTTCACTTTTGTTCCCTGTGTATGTGCATGTACATTTTCTTCCTTTAAGTTTATCTTATAAATAGCATGTTATTATATTTTGTTTTTGGTTTTTTAATGTCTGGTAGTCCATATCTTTTAATAAGCTTATGTAACACATTTACAAGTATGATAATTCTTGTCCTAATTAGGACTTATTTCTACTTTATTTCATATTTTTATTTTTTAATTTTTCATTTTCTAATATAATTTATTGTCAAATTGGCTAACATACAGTGTGTACAGTGTGCTCTTGGTTTTGGGGGTAAATTCCCATGGTTCATCACTTACATACAACACCCAGTGCTCATCCCAGCAGTTGCCCTCCTCAGTGCCCATCACCCATTTTCCCCTCTCCCCCACCTCCCCATCAACCCTTAGTTTGTTCTCTGTATTTAAGAGTCTCTTATGGTTTGCCTCCCTCCCTTATTTCATATTTTTAAATGTGATTTAGATGTGATTACTTTTTTTCCCTCTTTTTATTATCTTCTTTCCATGGATTAGATCAAATTTTATTCTTCTGGTTTGTAAGTTATACATTCTGTTTTTGTTCCTATGACAGATGCCCTTAACTCATGAACCATACTCCTGTTTATTTATTCTTGCTGATTTCTTAAGACTATCAAAATTTCTATCTTCACCTAATAAGATGAGCATTTTTAGTACGTTCTCATTCTCCTTTTTAAAAAATTTTAAATGTTTATTTATTTTTGAGGGAGGGGAGCGCATTCCAGAGCATCAGCGGGGGAGGGGCAGAGAAAGAGGGAGACAGAATCCACAGTAGTCTCCAGGCTCTGAGGTGTCAAACACAAAACCCCACGTGGGCTCGAACTCAGGAACAGTGAGATCATGACCCGAGCTGAAGTCAGACGCAGACGCCTAACTGACTGAGCCACCCAGGTGCTCCAGTATGCTCTCATTTTCTTGCGCATCCCTTTTCACTTGTTACCACCTTCTTCTCCAATCCCAGTCAGACCGTGTGGCGATTGTACAGGATTGTAATTTTGTGTCATTATTGATTGCCCTAGCAGTCTATGCTCTTCCTTCATTTTTCAGTTCTGGAAATTTGCATCTGTTATTTCTTCATATATATTTTCTCTTCTTCATTTAAATTTTTCTCTTCTTTTGAGACTCATCTTATTCATTGATTGACACATCTACTTCCATTCTCCGTATCTCTTAGCTTTTTGTTTTATGTTTGCTATCTTTTTGACTTTCCTGTTTTTCTTTGAGAGAGCTTCCCAGTTGACTCTGCTCACTGATCACATGTCAGTTGTATCTATCCTCCTTTGATTTGTTATATTGGGTTCTTTATGTCAGTTATTATATTTTTAATATCTATTATTTTCATTGGGTTCTTATCTTTTGTTCTTGTTTTATATTCCTAATATTTCTCCTTATCTCCTCATGTATATTTACCATGTTTATTTTCAAATCTTGAACTGGCCCTTTCAGTATTTGGCATCACATGTTATGTGTTGTCCAGTTGGAGGTCTTTTATGGAAGTCATACTCTTGGACGTAGTTGATTTGGCAGCTACTCTGATATTGTCTGTTGGGGAAGGCTGAACACTCCATTCCAATCTGTAAGTCTTGTGAGTTTAAAGAGGGGGAGGGGTCAAGCTTCAGGGACTAGAGAACTATTCTTGATCTTCCCTGTGTGCTACTGGCTTTTATTCAATGTTTCACTTTTAAGCTGTTAGTGAAAAGTATCACCAAGAAGAGGCAGTCTCATAGGGTCATGATCCACCAGCTTTTAGGGTTTGGAGTGCAGAGGAAAAGTGAGTCCTTGGGGCCATGGGTCTGCCCATGTGTTTTCCTCAGTTTCTCCACCAGAAGGGCAGAGGCGCTGACCTGGTATTATCTTCCTGGCACTTACACAGGCAGTGGAGGCTGCTGCTGCAGCTGCTGATTTTGGCAGCGAAAATGCAAGGAAGGATTGTCCCAAGGCTGCTTCCTGGAAAGAAGCAAGAGCAGAATTTAAAAACCTTTTTTCCAGACTACCTCTAGCAACTTTCTGCCACCCACTTCCTCCCAAAACACCAGTTAAAGTTATCTTTTACCCTTCCCAGGGTTTTCTCATACCACTCATCTGAGTTTCCTACTTGCTTTTCTTGTTTCTCCAGAGTTGGCTCTGGAGAAGGGTATCAGGAGCCTGTGGTAAGAGACCATTTTGATTTCTTTTGCTCTTGTTAAATTTATATGTGGTGCTGAGAGACTCTTGAACACTTGGGGGAAATTAAAGAGTGCTAGATATTCCAGAAATAATTTTCAGACATCAGCTTTTGCTCCAGCTCCGGCCTTTTTATTGAGCCAATGAGATAAGGAGGATTTCTTTTTGAGATAGATGCTTCTTCCTAGATAAATTCCATTGATTCATGTCTGAGTGTCAGTGGAAGGTGATCTTGCATGTATTTGTATCCCATAGCAGAGTTTAAGTCTTGGGACTAAAATCTTTTCTCTACATTATGTCTGGCTCCGGCTCCATTGTCTATAGTTGGGCTGACTGTATTTGCCAGCTTGTTGATATATTATGAAATTTTCTGTTTTCTCCTTCTGTTGTTTTCTTCTCGGTGCCTGTTCTAGTGCTGCGTTTGCTTACCATGGATGTAGCTGTGGTTGTTCTTGGGCAGAAAGAGTGGATGCAGGTGTTTGATTTAAACTTTTTTTTTTTAACATTTATTCATTTTTGAAAGACAGAGACAGAGTGTGAGTGGGGGAGGGACAGAGAGGGAGGAGACACAGAATCTGAAGCAGGCTCCAGGCTCCAAGCTGTCAGCACAGAGCCCCATGTGGGGCTCGAACCCAGGAACTGTGAGATCATGACCTGAGCTGAAGTCGGTCGCCTAACCGACTGAGCATCCCAGGTGTCCCAGGTATTTGATTTTAAACGTGTTTTTTTTTTTTTAATTTTAAAGAAAGTTTTATTTATTTATTTTGAGAGAGACAGAGACAGTGTGAGTGGGGAAGAGACAGAGAGAGAATCCCAAGCAGGCTCCATGCTGGCTGTGCAGAGCCTGATGTGGGGCTCCTACTCATGAAACCAGGAGATCATGACTTGAGCCGAAATCAAGATTCAGACGCTCACTGAGCTACCCAGGGGCCCCCAACGTGGTTGTTTTTTAAGCTCGTAGTTAGAATCTTTCATGATTTGTATTCCTGCCTTCGTCTTAATTTGTCTAGTTAATGCTAATGCAAATAAGGGAGATACATTGAAATAGTTACCAAACAGGGAGCAATATCTTAACTTTTTTTTATTGTGATGAAATATATGTAACATAAAATTTGCCATTTTAGCCATTTTAAAAGACAATCCCGTGGCATTAATTACTTTCATGTTGTACAACCATCATCACTATCTGTTTCTAAAACTTTTTAATCACCCCAAACTTACTCTGTAGTCATTAAGTGATAACTCTCCGTGTCCCCCTTTCCCCAGCCCCTGGCCATCTCTAATCTTCTTCTGTCTTTATGAATTTGCCTAGTCTAGACATTTCATACAAGTGGAGTCATATAAAATTTGTCCTTATGTGTCTGCCTTATTTCACTTAGCTTAATGTTTTCAAGGTTCATCCATGTTGTAGCATATATCTGAACTTTACTTCTTCTTATGGCTGAATAATATTCTATTTAATGTATATACCACATTTTGCTTATCCATTCCTCTGTTGATGGATGTTTAAGTTGTTTCTATCCTTTGGTTATTGTGACTGATGCCAGAATGAACCTTGGCATACACGTATCTGTGAGTGCCTGTTCTTTTCAGCATATATATTGGGATGGAATTGCTAGGTCATAGTCTATTCTGTATTTATCTTTTCTGGGAGCTGCCAACTTTACTTACTCTTTTAGCCTATTTTACTCACTCTTGCTAGTAATGAGTGCTGTTCTTAAAAAAATGGCATTGCTAATGTGATAATGCAGATATTTCAATATTAAAAAAACTATCTCATTGAAGTTATAATTTGCATTGCTTTATCAACCAGGGTTGAATTTTTTTTCTGCTTGTTATTAATTTGCATTTCTTTTTTGTAAATTGCTTTTTAAATTCTTTTTGTTATTTAAGCAAGGGAATCAAGAGCAAAAATAAACTGTTGGGACCTCATCAAGATTAAAAGCTTCTGCACAGCCAAGGAAACAACCCAGAAAATTAATAGGCAACCAACGGAATGGGAAAAGATAGTTGCAAATGACATATCAGATAAAGGGTTAATATCCACAATCTATAAGGAACTCACCAAACTACACGCCCAAAAAACAAACAACCCAGTGAAGAAATGGGCAGAAGACATGAACAGACACTTCTCCAAAGAGGACATCCAGATGGCCAACAGACACATGAAACGATGCTCAGCATCCCTCCTCATCAGGGAAATACAAATCAAAACCACACTGAGATACCACCTCACGCCAGTCAGAGTGGCTAAAATGAGCAAATCAGAGAACTGTAGATGCTGGCGAGGATGTGGAGAAATGGGCACCCTCCTACACTGTTGGTGGGAATGTAAACTGGTACAGCCCCTCTGGAAAACAGTGTGGAGGTTCCTCAGGAAACTAACAATAGAACTCCCTTATGACCCAGCAATAGCATTGCTAGGAATTTACCCAAGGGATACAGAAATGCTGAGGCATAGGAGCACATGTACCCCAATGTTCATAGCAGCACTCTCCACAATAGCTAAAACATGGAAAGAGCCTAAGTGTCCATCAACAGATGAATGGATCAAGAAGATGTGGTTTATCTATACCATGGAATACTACATGGCAATGAGAAACAATGAAATCTGGCCATGTGTAGCGACATGGATGGACCTTGAGGGTGTTATGCTGAGCGAAATAAGTCAGGCAGAGAAGGACAAATATCATATGTTTGCACGTATAGGAGGATTAGGAGGAACTTGACGGAGGAACAAGGGGGAGAAGAAGGGCGGAAATGGTGGGGGAAAGGGAGAGAGGCAAACCATGAGAGACTCTTGAATGCTGACAAAAACTGAGGACTGATGGATGTGGGGGGGAGGGGGGGATGGGCATGGAGGAGGGCACTTTGGGGATGAGCACTGAGTGTTATGTAGAAACTAATTTGACAATAAACTATTTGTAAAAAAAATAAAAAAATAAAAAAATAAATTCTTTTTGTTATTTAAAAAATATAGTTAAGTGAGATTTTTGCAGAACTTATATTAACCATCAAATTTAACCGATTTATTTCTGCCAGAAGTATAGGTTGTTTTCAATGCTGACCCCTGTGTGTTGGTTTAGAAATTGATATTTAAGTAGACATTTAAGTTCCTCCTGGGCAAACCTCAAGCCCACATTTCTTAGGAACTCTAGATTCCTGAACAGAGTGAAAATAAGTTAAAAGAATAAATGTAATTTTAGGGGCACCTGGGTGGCTTAGTTGGTTAGGCATCCGACTTTCGCTTAGGTCATGATCTCGCGGTTCGTGGGTTCGAGCCCTGTGTCGGGCTCTGTGCTGACTGCCAGCTCAGAGCCTGGAGCCTGTTTCAGAGTCTGTGTCTCCCTCTCTCTCTGACCCTCCCCTGCTCACGCTGTCTCTCTCTCTCTCTCCCCTAGAAATAAATTTTAAAAAAATTAAAAAAAAATGTAATTTTAGCTGATTGAATCATTAACAAGGCATTAACATATTTGTTATAGTTCCATTTGTGTCATTTTCAATTTAGATAAGCGTGTGGGCTGTGTGTTATCTAAGTGACATGTAAGAAATATTGTAGAGGGCAGAACAGCTTGATACAAGTCAATTCATTCCACATATTTTATCTTCTCCTTAGGTGGTCCATGAGTTGGAGCTCTATAACACAGGATATTATTTAGGCATGTTCATGAATTCTTTTGCAGTTTTTCAGGTATGTTTAGCTTGTTATATAGTTTGAAAAGATATTAATATCTTTTACTATTTCAAACACCTTCAGAATTAATTATCTGATTTATGAAATGTTAACCATTTGTTAAATGTGTGTTGAAGTATACACTGTGTTATATAAGTGTAATTTGAAGTGGAAAGATAATCATCCTTCCAATTTTAAAAGCAAGTGGAAAAAGTCCATGTGTGTGTGTGTATCTGTGTCTGTGGATGAGAGGGAGAGAGAATGCTCATGTATGTACCTAAATTCTCAAAAATGAGAGTAAAAAATAATACTTTCACATCTGCGTAAAAAATTGAACAAGAGTAAATTTGGAAAACTGCTTTGACATTTTACAGAGCATTTAAACTTTTATTTTAAAAGAAAATTAAAAATGATTCTTTCTAGGAATGTGGCCTCTGGGTATTGACAGATGCAAACCTTATAAAGGATTACATTGATGGTGTTTGTAAGTAGAACCTGGCAATGTGCTTTCAAAGTATTTAAAAGTCTTTCATCTCAGGTATTTGAAATTACTTATAAGTATGGATACTTTCTGGTTGGATATGGATATTGTGATTTTCATTTTTCTGTTCTCTTTTCCTAAAGTCTTTGGAATTTAATGTGCATCTGAACCATGACATGGAATATTTGTCTCGGCTTCTGTCTAGATTTTTGAAATGAATGCTTTCCATTTGCTCCCTACAGTTCTTTGAAATAGTTATTTTTGGGGACATATTGGAAGATCCTATGCTTCCCATTTGTTTTGTAAACTGTTATTATTTTGGAATTAGATAAAAGAAATAATATATTTTTGAAACATTTTTGTTGTCTAGCATTTTGATGGTTCACCTAGAATATAGCCTACATGCCATAGTTTGTTGGTACATGCAGTGCACGCACACACACACACGTTCACCTAGAATATAACCCAGATGCCATATGTATGTTGGTACATGCAGAGCACATGTGTGCGTGCACACACACGTGTACACACGTGCATGTGTCATTAGTCTGAGTTCTTCCTGGGCAGGGTCACATCTGTACGTCCTAGTTCCCTGTATTGCTGAATAGAGTTCCCACCCAACTAATAATGAGAGTGCTTTTAGGAAGAAGGCAGATGTTTTGACTGAAGGAAGCATGTAAATGAGAATGGTTAACTCCAGCAATTGTTCTCTTTTCCTTTAGGTAACATTGTGCTAATATCATCTCGTAAGGCTCCAGAACTGTCATAATTTCTATCCCTGGATTCCCTCTTCCTGTCAGGTGTTCTCAGTTACTCCACACTAAGCCCAGCCTCTCCAACTTTGGGCTGATTTTTGACAATACAGTCCTAAAGCAAAAAGATCATTTTATAATATTAAAAATTTTATGAAGTCATTATGATCTCTATGTATTAAAGATAATATGGTACGGTTAGCTTTCTTGGTGTAACAATCCATCCTAGACACCTTCTAAGCAGTCTTTTTCCATTCTTTGTCAGTATTTGCCTTTACTAATCTATTTTCATCTTTACTTATCAAACCCCGATTTCCACTGTAATACTCATTCTATTGTTAGTAATACTAACAAGATTTTTTTTACCTTTCCTGAGAACTTTCTTCTATCTTTTTTCCCCACTGTGTAACAGAAGAAACTTAATACTCTTACTAGCATACTGTGTCCCTAGAAACCTCAAGTGACTGACATTCATTTTTTTGTTTCTCTTCTGAATCAGGGTTCCTAAGGACATAGTATATCTTGCAGCCACCACTATGGCATCAGCAGTCACTCAAGGTCATGTTATCACTGGAGCACTGGTCTACTTTTTTTTTTTTATAAGGTTTCATTATTTTAAACAATTTTTAAAAATATTTTATTTATTTCTGAAAGTGGGGGAGAGAGACAGCGTGAGCAGGGGAGGGTCAGAGAGAGGGGGAGATACAGAGTCTGAAACAGGCTCCAGGCTCTGAGCTGTCAGCACAGAGCCCAATGCGGGGCTCAAACCCACAAACTGTGAGATCATGACCTGAGCTGAAGTCGGACGCTTAACCAACTGAGCCACCCAGGTGCCCCACACTGGTTTACTTTTAACATTTCAAATGCCTTCTACCTTGGATATTCCCCCACTCCCTTAAATCTATTGAAGGTCTTCTTTGCCCCTACTGGAGACCAAACATCTTTGGTCTTGACTTCTGGTTATTCTGGGTTATTGGCTCCTTCTGCTTTTACTTTCCCCCAATACTTGGCCTGGACCACATGATTATTCAATTTGGGAGCATTCCTAGTTCCTCATCCTTCCCTGACATCTTCATTAACCCAAACTCTGGAACATCTCAACTGTTTATCTTACACCCTGTTTCTCCATCTCACAAATACCTTGAATTCAGTATGTCACAAGCCAAGTTTATGATCTCTCTTTCTTTACAATCTTGCTGTTCTTTAATATAATTTTATTGATATATGGGTCTGAACTGATATCATGTCATATCTACGTTGATGAAATCATCATTTACCTAGATGTCTAAATCAGAAACCCAGAACTCATCCTTAATTTCTTCCTCTCTGTCAGATGTGGAATAGCATGGTAGTTAAGAACAGGATTGCCATCAAATACTTCTGCCTTTAAATTCTGGTGTTTTGACTCTGACAAAATCAATGGACCTCTCTAAACCTCAAATTTACAATTGAAATATGGTACTAATGATATTATTGGTATTACAGGGTTATTATGAGGCTATATTCAAAAGCATTTAAAATGTATGACATGTTTAGCACTTATAAGTCTGCAATTACTCTTTTATTCCTCAGATCCAGTTTGTTCATTCATTATTTAATGAATAGTGACAATATTAACTGCATGCCTAGTATGTACAAAGCAATGAGATTTCTACTTGGTCTAGGGGGGCCCAACAACATATAATCAGAAGAGTGTGCTGAGGACTGGGGTAGGGGGAGTCAGCATGCCATGGGCATACACAGAAGTCATCCACCCAAGAGGCAGAGCAAAATCATCTCTTGAGACTATTCTTCCTCTCCTCTGCTTGGCTTCAGGCTCTTGTCAGTGTCTTTTTGACTGTTACAATAGCATCCTAACCAACTGTTTTGCCTGCCTCCTTTTCCTCCAGCTCTAAACCATTGTTCACACTGATGCCAGAGTTATCATTATAAAACATGAGCTTAGTGGGCTAGATCATGTTTCTAATTTATTTTAAAACCTTCAATAGGTCAAAATTGCTCCAAGGATTAATCTAAGTCCTTCACTATGGGATATTTGATATTTAATATCTGGACCTAGCCATTCTTTCTCTTCTCATTTTCTGCCACTCTTCCTTAATACTCACGGTCATATTCTGGACATACCTTTGTACTTAGGTTACTTCCCCTGTGTCCCCTTCCCATATGGGGTACTCTTTAACTAGAGACTTAAAGAAAATGGAATAAAAAAAACCCCCAAAACTCCTGCAAAATGGATTTTTTCCCCCAACTATACTATTTTCATCATTTAGATTTTGGATAAAATCAGCCATTCTTGTGCAAATAGGCATTTTATGTATGTCTATATCACTCTTAACTCTTAACATGTTTACTACCGTTTTCTATTTGTCTCCTCCAATATAGACTGAGTGAAGAAGCTCACTGCATTCATCTTTGTATGCCTGATATCAACTGTAGTCCATTTGTTTTACATTTTATTTTGAAATAATTATAGACTTATAGAAAAGTTGAATAAATAGAAGTAGGTGATCCAGAGTTTTTATGGCAACATGGCCTCTTTTAAGCTAGTAAACACGATGATTGTGGCATCTTACGGCTGGTGTGGCCAATGGTATTTGGCACTAGGGAGCTAAAAAGAGAATAGCAAAATTGAAGGTAACTTAAAAAATGAGATTTAACTTATTTTTAGCAACTGCACTGTAAGTAGTTTTTCAGTTGTTGGCCGTATGGGCAGGGAACCTTTTTTTTTTTTTTTAAGTTTTGGTGCTGCTGTAACTGGCCACAGGGCCTTGGGTAAGTCAGTTGACTTATGTGGGTCTCAGGTGTCTCATCTGTAAAACGAGAAGTTTGGATAAGATGAGCTCTGAAGTCCCATTCAGCTGAGAGATGCTGCAATTCCGTGGACTAAGTTTATAATCATTCTCTACAGTGACTTTTTCCCTAACAGTTGCCAATGTTGATTTTTAGATGACAGCATAGAATTTGCCGAGAGGTTTATAGAGGAAACTGAAGGATACTTGGTAGATTTTCATGACTTTTCTTCGGTTAGTGATCCACATGTCAGAAAGCATTTTCCAGAGACTTGGATTTGGCTAGACACCAACATGGGGTAAAGATTTATAATATTCTTTGCTCGTATATATTTTGTTTTGTGTTATTTTTAAATAAGTTTTGTGTTCTTTCTAATGTTTAAGTACAAACGTATTGTGGTTAAAGCTAAATAGACCAAGAGGGTTTTATTTTAGAACCATCTTGATTGTATTTAAATGTAGTATTTAATAAAGCCACTTGCATTTTGGGGCAGTGATAGTATCATTAAGGAGAAGGTAGACCTCCTTATGAAGGGTGTTTTGAACTTTGTTCTTGTTTGAGAAAATTGCTGTGAGGATACCTGTTGCCTTGGCGTGAGAGTACTCACAATTACTCTCTCTACCTCATAGCTCCTTGTAAACCATCCCCATGAGCCACAGGGAGGAGCGGCACGGGTGGTGGAGGGACTCAGCTTAGTTGACAGACCCTGGCTATCTGTTCCCATGACTGAGCAGATGAATCAAGAAATATGCACATATTTTATAGTCAGCCATGTTTGGAAACTTGAAATAAGACACAAGTCAAAGCTCAAAAAAATACAGCATTCACCAGATTACAGAGGGAAGCTTTCATTTAAATTGACAGAAATAAATCAAGTTAAATTTGAAAATACTTATTTATTATCTGTACAACGTTTATGAAAATAATGGTCATTCTGAAGGTATAAACATTGTTGAAAGCTTTTAATGGAATATGAGTCAGGATGCAGTGTTACGGTCTTATTGAATGACCCATTCCTTGAGAATTTGGGATCTACCATTTCATGCTCACTTAAAAACATTTAGATAGGTAAACAATTTGGAAACTTAAAACTCTTCCAAAAATGGTTAGGTTATGTTGACTTTTTGGAAATGTGTCATCTCGGTGTTATGATTCTTATTTTTATTTTGACCTTAGTTCCAAGATTTACCAAGAATTTGAAGTTACCGTGCCTGATTCTATCACTTCTTGGGTGGCTAATGCATTCGTGATCTCTGAGGACTTAGGTTTTGGACTAACCAGGACTCCAGTGGAGGTAGTATATGAAAGAGCTGCTTGTAAATGTTAAAGTCCCCAAAGCAAAAAAGGTGTCCACTCTTCAATGGATTTTCAAAAAACAATTGCTTATGATGTTGACTGAATCCAACCTTTTCCAAAGGCCAGAAGACAGAGCATTTCCATGTATCCCTTTGATAAGGATAAGCAGAACTTCTCAAGATGTCCCCTAGCAGACATGGCTTCACATTTCTGGCCAGACTTTAGCATATGTGACTCCCTAACCCAGTTGCTGGCAAGAGGAATATAATGACCATGTTTGGTCTTAGACCAGTAGCTCTCACCTCTGTCATACCTGAAGCCCCTTTTTTATTAGATATTTTGTTTTCCCCTTTGCCATCTACAAGGAAAGTCATAGAAAATATAGTATAGTATACTTATATACTCAATTAAAGAAAATCTATATGATGCCTTAAGTGAAATATTAAGGAGAAATAAAAGGAAAGTAATGTGTAATAAAGTAATATATGTTACAGTATATAAGTGATTCGTCATAGCTGCACAAGGAGACATACATATTTAACTATTTACTCCAGGCATAGAATCACCCTGTGGGTAACAGCTGCAAATCTAGTTTGATATACATGTATTATTTCAGCTGCTCAAATACCTTTAGGAGTACTGCCTGCGGTGATGTCAGTTTCTGAAACTGTGAACAACTTTTGGTAAAGTTATATGCAAAACAAAGAGCAGTCTTCTGTTGATTTACAAAATAGCTGTTTTTATGAAAAATTCAGTGTGTGTTGAGAAATGCTTTGGGTTCATATATAAGTTGGAACTAGGTTTTAAGTTCAGGTACTTTACATGAATGTCTGAAGAGATATTCAAGAATCATGAGACACAGGGGACAGTTCTTCTGTCTTGAGAATTATAGACTTTCACACCCTTTCTGTCAATAGTACCTCTCAATTATTGTGACAATCTAAGACACTTTTGCAAATGTCTAAGTAAACCTCTAGAGAAAATTGCCACTACCAGTGACAACCATCAGCCTAAACTAATCAGTGATTGCTTTCAGAGGCAGGGTAGGAGTTCAGATTTCCCTGAAGGATTTGGCCACCGATATCAGAATTGGGTTACCAATGAGGAAGTACATGTGCATGTATATGTTAGAAGGTAGTAAGCAGATCATCTAGACTTTCCACATGAGTCTAAAACAGGGGTTGTTTGATTTGGGCCAGTGGCTTTTAAAGCAGCTTGGTGGAGTCATTATAGCACAGTAGGTGAGGAGTTTGACTTTAGCATCAGGCATGCGGGGATCCATTTCTGGCTCCTTCATTTACTAGCAATATGATCTTGTACTTGTTACAGAGATTTCTGAATGTCAGATATCTTTTCTGTAAAATATGAGCAAAAAATCTGCCTCACAGGAGTTGTAAGGCTTAAATGAAATAATTTACGTAAAGTACCTATAAACTTGGGACTACATCAAAGTAAAAAGTTTCTGCACAGTGCAGGAAACAATCAACAAAACTGAAAGGCAACCTACTGAATGGAAGAAGATATTTACAAATGACATATCCAATAAAGGCTTAGAATACAAAATATATAAAGAACTGATAAACTCAGTACCCCAAAACCAAATCATCCAATTAAAAATGGGCAGAAGACATAAACAGATATTTCTCCCAAGAAGACGTACAGATGGCCAGTAGACCCATGAAAAGACACTCAACATCACTTATCATCAGGGAAATGCAAACCAAAACTACAATGAATTATCACCTCACACCTGTCAGAATGGCTAAACTGAATACAAGAAACAACAAGTGCTGGCGAGGATGTGGAGAAAAAGGAACACTCTTGCGCTGTTGGTGGGAATGCAAATTGGTACAGCCACTGTGCAAAACAACACGGAGGTTCCTCAAAAAACTAAAAATAGAACGTTATGATCCAGGACTCACACTACTGTATATTTACCCAAAAAATACAGAAATACTAAATCAAAGGGACACATGCATATTCATGTTTATTGCAGCCTTATTTGCAATAGCCAAACTATGGGAGCAGCCCAAGTGTCCACTGAGAGATGAATGGATAAAGGAGATGAGGTGTATATGTATGTGTGTGTATATATAAACACTATTCATTCAGAAAAAAAGAATGAAATCTTGCCATTTGCAACAGGATGAATAGAGCTAGGGAGTATAATGTTAGGTCAAATGAGGCAGAGAAAGACAAATACCACATCATCTCACTCATACGTGCAATGTAAAAAACGAAACAAATAAGTGAAGGAAAAAAACAGATAGGCAACTAAGAAACAGACTCTTAAGTATAGAACAGATGGTTACCAGAGGGGGGATGGGTGGGAGATGGGGTAGTAGAGGGTGGGGATTAGAGAGTACACTGATTATCATGATAAAAATAAAATAAAATGATAAAAAAATAAAGTTCCTGGATCCTAGTAGGCACTTAATACATTGTAGTGATTACTATGTTAAAGACCATAAACCACATCAGTTTATCATCATTCATTTGGTGTAAGTTGCTGTTTGTTTTCTATTGATAGGCAAGTGGACGTTTCTACGTGAAATTATAGGCTTCATAGGTTCTGTGAGATTTACTTTTAATTGCATGAAATGTGAAGCATTTTGAGTTTAATAACATGTATTCATTGTATTTTTTTTTTTCAGCTACAAGCCTTCCAACCATTTTTTATTTTTTTGAATCTTCCCTACTCTGTTATCAGAGGTGAAGAATTTGCTTTGGAAGTAACCATATTCAATTATTTGAAAGATGCCACTGAGGTAATATATTAAAAGTTTTGCTAATCATTCACACTTCAGGAAAAAATGGAGAAAACACACAGGGTTATTAATGTGTTACAAGCAGCTGGGAATGTAAGCATTTTGTACACATCTGAGAGACTGAAAATAAACATGCTTAGTCAGTGATTTCTACTTATTAAAGTCTAAGGATTGTATTAGTGTGTCTGTACTGTCTTTCTTAATTTCTTGCACACGTTTTCTACTTTATTTTTTTAAATATTTTATTTATTTCTGAGAGAGAGAGACAGCATAAGCAGGGGAGGGTCAGAGAGAGACACACAGAATCTGAAGCAGGCTCCAGTCTCTGAGCTGGCTGTCAGCACAGAGCCTGTTGTGGGGCTTGAACCCACGAACCGTGAGATCATGACCTGAGCCAAAGTCAGATGCTTAACCGACTGAGCCACCCAGGCGCCCCATACACATTTTTTACTTTAGCCATGTAACTTCCTCACTGTGTGTGAGGCAGGTCTGTGTCTTTCCTGACTCCCTGTCCTGTTTCCTAGCCTTCCCCTCATTTGGAGGTATTGCCACTTCTCACTGCCATTCTGTGCTCCTAGACCAATTCCTCTCAAGATCTGGCATAAAACTAGGATGCCTTTCCTCACCCGTTCTGTTCTGTGTTGTTTATATTTCTCTAGTGTATTTTGTTTTTAATCCATTGTATTCAAAACAAGGCTTTATGTTTTGAGTCATGTGCCTTGTTTCCTTAGCTAGTGAGTTCCCTGAAAGGCAGGATTAGGTCACGGTTCGTGTTATACCCATAGTAGTACTAACCAAGTGATTAATCTTTTTACCCCCAGAGTAAGTAGGGCTATGTTACTAACTTCATTAATGAAAATGCCACAATCTCATTAAACTCTATGTTTATAAATTATTTGTAAATTGTACTTTTTAACCTAGTCAACAATGGTGCATTGTAAAGAGCAAAAGATACGGAATCAGAAGGCCTGGATTCAATGCCCCGCTCTACCCCTTAGCAGCAAATAACTTAATAGCAGTTTTCTTATCTGTAAAATGGGAATGATAATTCTTCTGTCTAAAGAAAGTATTTTGAGAAGCAGGTGAGAAAATAAATGGAAAACAATTCATGAAGTGTAAGGCCTAGGTAAATGCAGTTCTTGGCAAAACTGGCAACTTTGATAGACTTTACACAAGTTTACAACCAACATATGCTTCAGGACTAATGTCTGCATCATTCTTTCCTTGGAATAACTTTAGCCGAGACTCTCAATAGATGTAATCACATTTCGTCCTGTTTGGTTTTTCTAATGGGACCAGTGTCCTAGGGTGATACAGTTAAATGAGGCTGGTGGCGATATCATGACATGAAATAATAACCTTTATGGACAATCCTTCCCACTCAAAGCCTTCATATAATGACAGAATTTAATGTTAGTGGGAGTTTAATGTTCGAAATGGAACCGAAGAGTTCCGTTTTCCCACGTATCTTGAGGTGGATGAGGAGAACATAGGAAAATGAAGTTTTCCCTGATAACCTTCTCATTTTCTCCTTGGCCAAATCTCTGTCTCATCTTCCTCCAGTCTTGAGCTTCATGGATTTAATAGCACTTGATGTGATAAAGCAAAACCTTACTGATGAGCATTTATTATAGAAAACATTTGAAAATTTTCCTTCCAGGTTAAAGTAATCATTGAGAAAAGTGACAAATTTGATATTCTAATGGCTTTAAGTGACATAAATGCGACAGGACACCAGCAGACCATTCTGGTTCCCAGTGAGGATGGGGCAACTGTTGTTTTTCCAGTCAAGCCAACACACCTGGGGGAAATTCCAATCACAGTCACAGCCATTTCACCTGCTGCTTCTGATGCCATCACGCAGAAGATTTTAGTAAAGGTAAATGTTTGAGGTCTTGAATAAATGAAATGGGAGTACGTAATCAAAAAGGAAACAGAAGATGGTTTTTCTCTTGGTTAGTTTTGTTGGCAAGATCTAGTAGGTCATCTCCTCCAGCCTCCTGGTCTTGTCTAATTGTTATCTCATCTGTATGTAAAGATACTTAAAATGTTTTGGAAGTAATTGCCCATTTCCTCTTTAAATTTATCATATCCTTATATAGCAAATCTCTTTTGCAGTCAATTACATTTACAAACTGTGTTACATTAGGATCCTATTAAATCATGCCAAGTTGATATGCAGATTTTGAATCTACAGTTGTATGTATTTTGAATGTATAGTTAGAAGAGATTTTGCAGATTTTTTTAGAGAAGACATTATGCAGAAATACTCAGCCTAGTGAGTAAGCACTTGTGTTCTGGGATGAGACAGCCCTAGGTTCGAACGCTGGTTCTCTCAAGTGTGACTTTGGGCAAGGAGTTTAATCTCTTTCTCTCTTTAAATCTCTCTTTGGATAATAATAGGATTTACCTCAGAGAGTTTTTCTCATTACCTTTTCATCTCCTTTGCCATTTCAATTGCTGTTTCTTAAAAAAAACTTTTTAGGGGCGCCTGGGTGGCTCAGTCGGTTGAGCTCCGACTTCGGCTCAGGTCATGATCTCACAGTTCGTGGGTTCGAGCCCCGCATCGGGCTCTGTGCTGACAGCCAGCTCAGAGCCTGGAGCCTGTTTTGGATTCTGTGTCTCCCTCTCTCTCTGACCCTCCCCTGCACACACTGCCTCTCTCTCTCTCTCTCTCAGAAATAAATAAAACATTAAAAAAATTTTAATGTTTATTTTTGAGAGAGAGAGAGAGAGACAGAGACAGAATGTGAGAGGGGGAGAGGCAGAGAGAGGGAGACACAGAATCTGAAGCAGGCTCCGAGTCTCTGAACTGTCAGCACAGAGCCTGACATGGGGCTCGAACTTATGAGCTGTGAGATTGTGACCTGAGCTGAAGTCAGATGCTTAACCAATTGAGTCACCCAGGCACCCCTCAATTGCTGTTTCATGAAATGTTTTGTCTACTTTAATTAGAAAGTAAGCATTTGTTAACAGATTTGAAGTGGGAATCAAAAATGGTAGGTATTTATCTAATTGTACTCATAATGCAGACAGCTGATTGTCTTACTATTTTCATAAAGTTCTCTGTAGACAGATGAGTGGAGACCATGTTAATCATGTTCCTTTTTTCCAACAGGCTGAAGGAATAGAAAAATTGTATTCACAGTCCATCTTGTTAGACTTGACAGTCCACAAGTTACAAACTCCCCTGAAAACTTTGAGTTTCTCATTTCCTCCCAACACAGTGAGTGGTAGTGAAAGAGTTCAGATCACTGCAATTGGTAAGAATACAATATATCGCCATGACCCCTGGTTTGTTTATATATGTCTATTGGTACCAACTACTGATTACAATAGAAAGACTAGCAGATATGTGTCCCAGCCCAGTTCTCAATCTCAGTGTACATCTGAATCACGTGGAGGATCTTGTTTAAGGAAGATGCTGGTGTAGTAGGCATGGGGTGGGGCCTTGGATTATGCATTTCTAACAAGCTCCCAGTTGATGTTGATGCTTCTGATGTGTGTGAAGACCATTCTCTGAGTAGCAGGGCCCATTTATAATGTGGCTGGAGGGAGGGATTCCTTTTTTTAAGTAAAAAATTTTTTTTCAATGTTTATTTTTGAGAGATGGAGTATGAGTGAGGGAGGAGCAGAAAGGGAGGGAGACACAGAATCCCAAGCAGATTCCAGGCTCTGAACTGTCAGCACAGAGCCTGATGCGGGGCCCGAGTCCACGAACCATGAGATCATGACCTGAGCCGAAGTTGGACGCTGAGGCACCCCATGGGAGGGATTATTTCTAAGAGCAGAGCTTCTGGCTTCCGTGGCTCCCGACCACTGATAATATCAAAATCCTGTGTGGAGATTTGTAAAAGCTCCACTTCTGACCTACCCAATCAGCATTTCTTGAGCTATGGCTAGGGTGTGTATATTTTGAAAAGGATCCACAAGTGCTTCTGATGACCAAAGGTTGAGCTCTATTGCCTCGAGCAGTTCTGTGTGCAGCACACAGATAACCTTTATAACAGGAAGCAGGCCACTGACTTCACCCTCTCCTGGTCACCTTCTGGCAACCCAAATGTGTTTTTGCATCAATTGTTAAACATAGCTTCCACACAAACGATTTGTTTATATAGTTGTGCTTTACAAATAACTGAAGGAAATGTTTAGATTAATGAAGATGAACGAATCTAAATAGTTTGTTAGGTCTTCCAGATGTCAGGACCTAAGGCACTTTTTCGGAAGTTCTTTTAAATCTCCTCTGTAGGTGTAATGTTTTCCATTATAATTCCAATAACCAAGCCCTCCATAGAGGACTTTTTGGGAGACTTGAATATAATTCTTTTTAAAAAAGTATTATTTATTTATTTATTTATTTATTGAGAGAGAAAGTAAGAGAGAGAGAATGGGGAAGAGGCAGAGAAAGAGGGAGAGAGAATCTGAAGCAGGTCTGTGCTGATAGCTTGGAGCCCCACATGGGGCTTGATCACCTTGGGTATAATTCTTAAGAAGAATTAAATAAGCTCTCTACTTAGGGGAATAAATTCTCCCACAGTGTTGTGATGCTGGGAGGTACAGCACACACACGGGGGATGCAGTACACGTGTGTGCGCGCGCACACACACACACACGCACACACACAGGAAAGAAGCCTTGAATTTCAAATGTATATCACCACTTCTTACATTGAGTGAATCTATCTTTGGTTACTGAAATACTGTTAAGGTTTGATTTTTAAACTTGATGCAAAGAATGACTTTCCAAGTTGTATTTTTATATGATATTTATTCCTTAAAGATTTCTTTTCAATGTTTATTCATTTTTGAGAAGGAGAGGCAGAGTGTGAGCAGGGAGGGACAGAGAGAGCAGGATACACAGAATCCAGAGTAGACTCCCAGCTCTGAGCTGTCAGCACAGAACCTGATGCGGGGCTCAAACTCCCAGACTGTGAGATCATGACCTGAGTTGAAGTTAACCAGTTGAGCCACCCAGGTGCTCCTATATGGTATTTATTTTAAAAAATCCATTTGGTAGCCTAGAATATTAGTGTGAATATTAGTTTTGCTTCTTTTAATATGGACAGTCTAAGTTTATGTTCACTTTAAATATTAAAAACTATAAAAGCATAAGTGGTAATAATTTAACCTCTATTTTTCTGTGTTAACATCTAAAGCTTAAGACATGGTATGCTACCATGGCTGCAGCCTCTTCACTTGAAAGAGGGCTTTCTTTTTTAGACTCATTTTTAAAAAAAAATTTGTTTTAGGATTAGATTCTCACTGTCTTTGGATTTGAAGTGGTATAAATATCTAACATAAACTAGACAGAAGAATGTTCTTCTCCATGCAGCCACAATGGGGTCAGAATTAGAACTCAGCCTCTGTATTTCTGAATTTTTACTTATTTCCCTGAGTCATGGTGTTAGAATGTGGGTAGAGGTGTCTCTTAAGCATGCATTTTGTTTAATTTTAGATTACTAATTTTGAAGAATACTCCTAATCCTTTTTGATCCTGATATTCATGGAAAGACTTTGACTTGTTAATTCTACTTTGTTGCTGCTAAATAGAACACAGTGAAAACTACTATAAGCCTTGCCTTTAAAAAATGATTTCTCCAGTGTTTGTAGTTTATTAGTAAGAAATGAGAATGAAGTTCTAGCTATGTGAAGAATACTACTCATAAAACATTCCTTTTCTATATAAAAATGATGATTTCATTATGATCAATTCCTGACATTTTTGTTCAAGAATTATTTTTAAACTTATTTTTTGCTTCGTGCATGCCACATCTTTAACTGAGCTAAAAGAGTGATGTGTCACATAATTTACAAGCTTGTTGCCACTGTGTTATCAGTTATTTGGCCAGTCTTCCTAAAAGCTTGATGTAATGTTTGTACTCTGTTCCAAGCAGTGGAATAATTATTGCTTCAATGTCCAATGCCTTCTGTACTTAGTGGGAGTCTCATTACCACCAGGAGGTACCGTTATTGACTATTTGCTGAATGTATTGAATATCTTATGCTTTCAGGAGATATCCTTGGTTCCTCCATCAGTGGCTTAGCTTCATTGATTCGGATGCCTTATGGCTGTGGTGAACAGAACATGATAAATTTTGCTCCAAATATTTATGTTTTGGATTACCTAACTAAAAAGAAACAACTGACAGAAAACTTAAAAGAAAAAGCCCTTTCCTTTATGAGGCAAGGTAAGTGTTTTATAAATATACTTTTATTTGTAAAAACATTTTTTTAGACAGAGTTCCCCCTCAACCATATTTCAAAATAGGATTTGTCCTTGCTGTGTGGTTGTAGGACTAGATGGTGCTGAAATGTGCTAGAACAATAAGCAGTAGGAAGATGTAATAGTCACAATTGCTGCTAACATATTTAAGGAGTTAGTGTCTAGAGGGGTTTGTATTTTTTTTAATGTTTATTTATTTTTGAGAGAGACAGAGAGGCAGAGTGTGAGTCGGGGAGGGGCAGAGAGAGGGAGACACAGAATCTGAAGCAGGCTCCAGGCTCTGGGCTGTCAGCACAGAGTTAGATGCAGGGGTCGATCTCATGAGCTGTGAGATCATGACCTGAGCTGAAGTTGGATGCTTAACCAACTGAGCCACCCAGGCGCCCCTAAAGGGGCTTGTATTTTAATATGGGACCTGAAATTTAAAGCTACTTAAAAATCTAGAGGACTGAGTGTTCATTTATTCATCACACATTTATGGAGCATCTGTTAGTGACAGTGTCATTTCCACCGCTGAGAAAACAGAGGAGGTCAGGGCCTTTCTTCTCAAGAAGTTCTCTGTTCAGTGAAGACAGTCTGTGTATAAACACATGTGGTGTCATGGGGCAGGAACCTTCTCAGTGCATTTAAAGTGTCAGGTAGGTGGGAGTTAGAAGGGAACAGTTTGTATGGGAGGCCCTGCTGGCCCTTCAGAAAAATGCCACACTGGAGATTACTCTCCCCGGATTCCTTTGCAGTTGCAACTTGCAAATAACACCAGTTATCACGAGCTGAGTGCTTATTTGTGTTCCAAGCACTTTACACCCAATATCTCATTTAATGCTCACAGTGTTAGTATTATCTTCCTATTTTTACAGATGAGGAACTGAGACACAGAAAAGGTAACTTTCCCAGGGTCACGTAGCAAGTGAGTGGCAGAGCTGGGATTTGAACTCATTGCCTGGCCCCAGAGTCCATGTTCTTAAAGTTCATACTTAGAGAAACACAAACATATTTCTAACAAGAATAATGTAAATTTGATTTCCTCAAATACTCCAGAAGCCAACCACCCAAAGTTTCAATCTTGCTTTTGTGCTTCCATGTTAGGGAACTTCTAGCAAAATCTCTGTGTGGCTGAGTTTCTCTCTGTATACAATTTGGGATACCTGCTGCCATCAAATTCGTGAGGATTAGAATGGTTTATGCAGAATGCTAGAAAAAATCCTTGTTCAGTATAATCTAAAAATGAAGTCCACACTTCTAAGCTCCCAAGTGTTTTGCTATTATTTTTTTTTTAAAGAATAAATGGGTTAAGGGGCGCCTGGGTGGCTCAGTTGGTTAAGTGTCTGACTTCACCTCAGGTCATGATCTCATGGTTTGTGGGTTTGAGCCCTACGTCGGGCTCTGTGCTGACAGCTAGCTCAGAGCCTGGAGCCTGTTTCAGATTCTGTGTCTCCCTCTCTCTCTGACCCTCCCCTGTTCATGCTGTCTCTCTCTCTCTCTCTCTCAGAAATAAATAAAACATTAAAAAAAAAAAAGAATGAATCGGTTAAATGCAAATAGAGGCCAGTTGTTAGGTTTTGTTAACTTCTCCACAGTTAAGAATTAGAAAGCTTAGGGGCGCCTGGGTGGCTTAGTCGGTTAAGCGGCCGACTTTCGCATAGGTCATGATCTCGCGGTTTGTGGGTTCGAGCCCCGCGTCGGGCTCTGTGCTGACTGTCAGCTCGGAGCCTGGAGCCTATTTCAGAGTCTGTGTCTCCCTCTCTCTCTGACCCTCCACTGCTCACGCTGTCTCTCTCTCTCTCCTAGAAATAAAAAAACAAACAAACAAACAAAAAAAAAGAATTAGAAAGCTTAAAGACACTATTTTGATGTGAGCTTTTCTTCCAGGTTCCCTCATTATGTAGGGACTTGTTTATCCTGAACTAAATTTTACGTAATAATGGTAATAGCTAATTGTGTTTAAATGTTTTACAAATGTTTTCATTTACTTCTCCCCAAACACCAGGAGGTGGGTGTACTGTTACTATTACCATTTTACAGAGGAGGAAACTGAGGCATAGGATGGTTACACGACTTACCCTGCTTACTCTCAGGTGATCTGGTTCTGGAGTCCATGCTCTTCCTCAGACCAATAGGGGATAACTCTACTTTGCAATGTTCTTAGGTTGTTAAAAGCAGTTGAGCTTAGGATGGAAAAGGTCCAGGAACTGGCAAGATGCTTGAGTGTGGCCAGTGTGTAAGAGGTCTCAAAGGGGCTTCTGATAAAATAGTAAGCGAGGAACGTGGGCTCCTATAGGGAAGGAGACAGCAAAGGCTAGCATCTGAAGTGTCAGGTTAGACCAGAGTGAGCTGTAAGATGGGTGCTCCAAGAGGAAGTGCCGGTCAGTGTCCTTGGCTCTCCCTGGGGTAGTCTGGCACAGACCAGGATGAAGAGGGGGAAGGGGGTTGTGAGTCAGGGGCCATATGCTGCATGAGAGGACAGACTGAGGGGGACCAGGGATTGGAATCAGAGCTGGGTGTGATCTGAGTGCTGCTAAGGGGAAGGAGATAGTGGTATATTTTCCCTCAGGTTAGAGTCAAGCCCTGCAGGCCTCAAATCTGGTTGGGTCTTCCAGGAAGTTCTCAAAGATCTAGCGATTGGTACTTTCCATACAGAGCTGCCCATTCAAAATCATCCTCCTTCGGGGCGCCTGGGTGGCTTAGTGGGGCGCCTGGGGTGGCTTAGTCGGTTAAGCGTCCGACTTTTGCACAGGTCATGATCTCGCGGTTCGTGGGTTCGAGCCCCGCGTCGGGCTCTGTGCTGACTGCCAGCTCAGAGCCTGGAGCCTGTTTCAGTCTGTGACTCCCTCTCTCTCTGACCCTCCCCTGCTCACGCTCTCTCTCTCTCTCTCTCTCTTCTAGAAATAAATAAAAAAATAAATAAAATAAAATAAAATAAAATCATCCTCCTTCAGGGGCACCTGGGTGGCTCAGTTGGTTTAGTGTCCGACCTCTTGATTTCAGCTCAGACCATGATCTCGTGGTTCCTGGGTTCGAGCTTCGTGTCGGGCCCTGTGCTGACAGTACAGAGACTGCTTGGGGTTCTCTGTCTCCCTCTCTCTGTGCCCCTCGCCTACTTGTTTTCTCTCTCTCTTTCTCTCAAAATAAATAAATAAACATTAAAATGATTCTCCTTCATACATGTATTTGTAGGTCATTCATATTTAAATATTTAAACACAAGAGCTGGCTTTTTCAAGTTCTATTATAACGAGATTAAGAAGTGGCACCACCAAAAGAAAAAAAAAAAGTGGCACCAGGTGCTCCCTGTGGAAGTCTGCCCTGCTAAAAGCAAATGAGATTTTACACGTTGCCATCATGGTTATATTAAAGGAGATGAGAAATATTTGGTATTGTCATAATTTAACTCTATACCTTTCGAAAACAAGATTCTGACTTGTATTCAAAATTTAGTGTGACTTCAAGCAGAAAGTACATAGGAACTAGACTGTTGCTTTATATGTTGATACATAGTCTTTGGGATAGTTTAATGAAATAAAATAAAATATTTTAGAAAATGCCACACAATTCCATATTTTGTAAGCTTTATGAATTGTAACATTGGGCTGGTTTCCCCCAGCCTCGTTTTCCCACCTGTAAGACAGGGCTAATAAAATACCTACTTCATGGGGCTGTTTTGAAGATTAAATAAAATATTTTTGTACTTTAGCACAGTAAACACCCAATAACTGTTAGCTATGATATAGTTAGTTGCATTTGACTGAGGCATTAGGGTCCCCAGTCAGCAAGTAAGTCTTGTCCATCTGCCTCAAAAGCAAATGTGAAATTCTTCCACTGTCTCCATCCCATGGTGAATCCTTCCACTCAAATACCATCATTGCTCGCCTGGACAGTTCAGTGTCTTCCCTTTAAGAGCCTCTCTGCTATGCCCACTCCCCTTCAATACAGGCTCCACATATACTAACAGGGATCTTTTGAAAATGTTCAAATCATGCCACTTCCTTCCTTAGAATTCTTTAAAGGGTTCTCTAGTGGGTGAACTGGCCTTGCCTCCCTCCCTCCCCTTGCCCGAGGCTGCCCTCCCTTGGCTTGCTCTTGGCTACATTTGGAACACTCCCAGCTCTGTGGTGCTTCAGGGTCTCTAACCTTGCTCTTCCTTCAACTGGGATCCTCTTCCTCTGGTGTTTCCATGGCTTGGCTCCTTTCTCATCATTTAGGTGGTGTTTCCCTCAGAGTGGCCTTTCCTTCCCATTTAGGAACTCTCATTTATACACCATTTCATTTTCTTCACCACACTTAACATTATTTAAAATGATCTTGTTCGCCTATTATCTGTGTGTTTCCTGTGCTAGAAGGTAACTCCCTGACAGTGGGCATCGTGTTTAATCTCACCATTGTATTGCTATCTAGGCACCTCAGTAAATACAGACTGGATCAGTGAGTTACTGTCAACATTAATCTCTTTGTATGTTCATCATCCTAATGTGGAGATTGGGCCCAGAACGTCTTCCGTAATGCAGAGATTATTTATAAACACTAAATTGTTCTACCTGACCTCGAGAGGTTCTTCTTAGCTAGGAAATGGGACCTGTGTTTTCAGCTCACCTTTTGAGCAGGCGAAGTGGCTGATGGAAGTTGACACAATGGAGCTCCCCCAAACACATCATTTCACATGCTGAACTGAATTGTATTTCAAAGTAGTGGACAAAAGCTTTCCTTGGTATAATGATTTTCATTATGAACTCAGTGTCTCATTTCAGGGACTTTGTTTTTTCTTTTGCCATCACATTTGCCAAAGTCCTTTAAATATACCGTAGTTGTTTTTATTTTTCAAGAAATTAAAGTCACTTTGGCATGAGTCATGATTATATTATTTAAATGTCATTTATGAACAGCGCATTGTTTTACTTAAATCATGCTTGGCCCAGGACCCTTGTAACCTAACCCATTGTTTTTTTGTTCAAAACAACAGCTACATCATTGA